CTGTAACAAACCCCTACCATGTTGCCTGGGAACCTCTACCCTTTGTTTGTTTTTTGCCCTCATCCACATTACCTGTACCTAAGAACAAAGATGGTGTCTGACCCTTTAACTGTTTTGTGCCCTGTGACAAAACTGGAGATTGTGCACAAATATGACTATTGTCCATATTTTTTATGATTCCCTTCATTTGTTGCACTGATCCCCATGTGTTTTATCTGTTGGTTCGGCTGGATAGACTACCAGACAAACTGTGGAGTTACTGGGTGGCCACCATTTCCTGTATCAGAGGCACATGGTGAGAACAATGGATGAAGCACATGGTGAGAACAATGGATGATGGCCATTTTAACTCACAGACACTGTTTTGACTTTTCTACAAGGTGCCATCTCGACGGTATTTGGTGCTCAAAGACATCGTTCAGTAGTTGTAAACTACAGAACAGGGGACACATTTAACAGTAATTATTTTTCATATAGCCTGTATATTTTCTGCGGAATCTGCATTAATCCGTATCTTCCAAACTACTGAACAGATCTGGGTGAATTTTGGATATGTGGTTTACCCAGATCCCCCGGTTCCGAGGATATTTTTTATGGGGTTATTGCATGTTTTGGGGTCCATGTAATATGTTTTATAATACTGTATTTTCCTGCCTGTGATAATTAAGTTAGTCTATTGTGTTGAGATAATTGTATCACAGGCAGAGGGGAGGATTTCTGATGTAATGAATAGGAGTGTTAGCTGTGTTGTAATGTGTTGATTGGTTGTTCTTCAAAACCCTGTGGGCAGTACTATGTTTGTAGAATGTGAATAAAAGAGGCTATATGTGCCAGTACAGTCAGTTCTACTTTACCCTTCAAAACGTAGCTTTGTCTCGTTATTGAAAGGGAACCTGCTCAGCTAATCATGTTGTTTTTTTTATTATTCCATCAGGACGCAAGTTGGTCCAGGCTACTTTTACCATTTCCATTGGTTGATAGATTATCACAGACATTTCCCAGGCTTAACAGACTTCTGGAGTTCCAGTCCCACTGGGTCAAATCAGTTTACAGTCTTATAAATCATTACCGTTTGGATGTGGCCAGATCTTCTAGTGTCCTTTCAGCTGCCTTGTAATTAAGTTTCTAATAAAGAATTTTCCTTTGGCATCATGTTTTGTTTCTTGGTTTCCCTCCCTTATGTCTCTAGTTTTCCATGTAGATATCTGGGAAAACAGAAAATGTATTCCATATTTACCAACAATTTATTTTTCCAGATGTCAGCCATGGCAGCACTGCACTCCAGCCCTTACCTTGTTTTCTTGTTTGTGGCTTGGGACTAAGACTAAAGATGTAAGGGATGGGGTCTCTTTTATTTTTTAATTAGGAGCTATTCCTGTCTAATTTAGGAGCGGGAGAAGCAATAACTATCTGTAGTGCTGCCATGGCCTATATCCAGGAAAATAAAATACTGCTAAGAATAGAAATCTGTTTTTTCCACTTCCCTATCTCCTCCGTTTCACTTTTCCCCTTTCTAGCTCCTCTGTGTGTCTCTTTCTCTCCCCAGTCCCTTTAAGTGTCTCCCCAGTCCCTTTGTGTGTCTCCCCCTAGCCCCTCTGTGTGCCTCTGCCCGCAAATCCCTTTTGTGTATCTCTTTCTCTCCTTTCTTAGCACATCTATGTATTCTTGTCCCTTTCCCCAGTTCTCTGTATGTTTTGTTCTTCCCCCAGCCCCAGTATGTCTCTTTTTCCCACTTCCCCAACCCCTGTGTGTCTCTCCACCCCCCCGCCCCCCAGCCCCTCTGTGTGTCTCTTTGTTATACCCCAGTCCCTTTCTGGTCTCTTTCCCCTCTACCCTCTTGTGTCTGCTTATCTCTATTCTGTAGCGTGGCCACGCAGACCACAGTAGAGGATCTTGTGTATCCTCTACCCCATACCTGTCCAACCTGCGGCCCCCCAGATGTTGCTGAACTACAACTCCCATGATTCTTTCAATGAAACAGATAGCCAGGGAATCATGGGAGTTGTAGGTCAGCAACATCTGGGGGGCTGCAGGTTGGACAGCCCTGCTCTACCCTGTATGACAGGAAGCTGTTCATTGCTTTGCACAAGCAGCTTCCTGTCAGACTGGATAGAGGATCAAGAAGATACTCTAGTGCAGTCCGTGTGGCCACAATGCATGTAGTGACTGTCTAGAATAGGGATAGGCAACCTTCGGCACTCCAGATGTTGTGGACTACATCCCCCATAAAGCTCTTACACACATAATGCTGGCAAAACATCATGGTATAGTCCAAAACATCTGCAGTGCCGAAGGTTGCCTATGCTTGGTCTAGGAAGGGGAAGCTATGGGGTTTCCACCTGTCAGTCACCTGGATCTTGTGCCCCGTTGGCCAGTGCGCCCTAAGGCGGCCACCTGTGCCACCTTACGGTTGCACCGGCCCTGCAGTTTGTTGCCTCCGTGAGGATCAGCCGTTAGCATAGGAAGGACAGTGATAGAGATACACAGGGAATATGACACTCTATCATATTCCCTTTGTGTCTTTCACTGCTCTGCTTCTGCTCCCAACTAAGCATCACTGAGGAAATCAGGTGTGGGCAAGGAGAGCAGAGCAGGTAGAGACAAAAATATCCCAGGCTATTGGCCTAATATGGAGCCCCACATTCAGGGTTCCAGAAGCCCCTACCACACACCTGAATTTAATAATAATTTGAACTGTCTCTACTGTCACAAGATAAGGATCACTGGTGTATTTTAACATTTTTTATGGTAACATTCTTACGACTCCGTATTTAATTAACAAAACAAATCTTGTAGCTATTTTAACGGGTGCAGAGTTGGAGGGATGTTTCTATAATTAAAAGAAGTTCACAGTATTGGCAAAAACTATTTTTAAAATTAATAAAATATATATATATATATAAAAAAACAATCACAGAATGTCACAATAATTGGAGTCAAAGTGGGGCATAATAATTCAGAAATTCTTTAAATATCCCTCACAGTGATAAAAAAAAAAAAGAGAGATAAAGAGAGCCTCTAGTAGCATAGCCTGTCAGCAGTTACTGTTTAAAAATAATACAATACTAAAAAAAGAAAGTCACACTAAACCGTTATATTCAGTATTAGTTTAGAATGACACCTTCCTGTTTTGATAAATTAGGGGTTAAAGGGACACTCCACTGCCCAAAAATATAATATAAATAAAAATTACTGTTAGTAGATATATGCCAAATCAAAACTTGCATGCATTTAATTGTGCATTTTTTTTATTGGACCATATCTAAAAACAGCTTGAAAGACCTGCAGTTCTCTTGAGCCTTTCCAGCCCTCCTCTTTTAACTCCGCCCAGACTTTCTGTGGCTGTCCAATCACAGACTTCCCAATGAAGTTTAACGAGAAGTCTTTGCAACGTAGATGCTCTGGCATATTGATGCCTCTTGAGTTTAGTTAAACTAGGCTAAACAAACAGGAAGTAACAGGACCTGTTGCCTGCTTGAAAGCCATGGGGGTGTAACTAGGTTAATTTATAAAAGTGCTAATTTCTATTAAAATCTGCACTTTTTGCAAAGTAAAAGAATAGGACACTCTCACATATACAGCTTCTCTGCAAGTTAAAGTGCTTCAGCTAACTGGAGTGTCCCTTTAATAACATAAGCAGAGTGTGACGGAACTCGGTACTCAGCCTGAGTATCTCCGTCAACCTCCCTCCTTTTCTCTCAGGATACCTTCATTATGATTATAGCACCTCACCCAAACATCAGCTGAGACTTGATGAAGGGTGAAACAGAGTGTGCTTTAACCACTCCAAATTGATCAAGAATATACAAAAATAGCAAAGCCTTTTTTTTTTTCAAAAACAGAACAAGCTATCCCAAACTCAAAAATGCGCATAGAGACCCTGCATTAGTGCGTGCCTTAGCACGTGCCAACAGGGCTGGCACAACCATAAGGCTGCACGGAAGGCACAGGCGGCTGCCTTACAATGCACTGTGGGTAGTCAAAAGTACTTTTTCCTGTGTAGCCAAAAATCCTTGCACCGGCCCTGCACCCCACACACATGCACACGCCTATGGTCCCTATGAACCCAATTCTACAATTTGTGCACATTGTGCTCTGAATAGAAAAATACAAAAGCAATCCAAGCAGTTTTGCCTTAAGTCTTTACATTTGTATATTAAACATGTCAATTAAAATGCTATTAAAATATATGACTCTGTGTGATAAGGATTATTGGTTTCTTTAGATTCTAAACTTGCCAGCTGGGCTCTCAAAACACAATGCTTTCAGTATGTTCCTTCTAGTTTGAAATGTTCCCTCTGCTATTATTAAGAAGCTCTCAGCTAATATAAATGTACAGTAATGTTCTGATCCCATTCTCTGATACAGAAAAGGTTAATATTAGCTGCTCTGTCCATGGTGCTGAATTTATTCCTTACAAGTGTTAGCAGAAGGGTTGTCTCACTGACTTGCCTTCTATTCTGGAACACAATTTGTCGTGTGAATAATTTTCTCGCCCTGATGTTATCACTCTGTGTACAGTCCGCTGTCAGGGCTCTCCTGGAGCTTTTCCAGACATGGATTAGTTTTTGTTTGTTTGCAGGGGCCCCACTCCATCACCTCTCCCTGTTTCAGGAAGACAACCTGCTAAACTTGAACGCCCATCGTCTGTCTCAGACCTTGGAAACCACTCCTCTCCGAGCACTATCGACTGATAGACAGTTGGTCCAGGCGATGCAAGCAGTGTTAAAGAAACAGGACGCAGAGCACCTTGACTGGTGGGAAGGAGAAGACAGTAGAACATGCGGGTGCTACAAAGAGGGGACACAAACATTCCATTCCAGGTCAGGTGGAATGTGCATGCATTCTGTCTTGGATACGTACAATAAATGGAACCCTCAGAAGATTCCACAAAAACTAGCCAGGACACCATGGACTAGTCTCTAATGGATAATGGGACGGAAGAGTAGGGCTGCAGGGCCCTACCTGCTTAATTGGGTTCTACTGGAGCTTTATAAAAGATGTCCAGCCTCATTTACGCAGTTCTTCACATCATCTTGAGTATCCTCATCCCTACGGCAAACATAGTGGTCATTGTCATATTGTCCAAGATCTTGAAGAAAAACCACTGCAAGAGCTACATCTTCATCCTCAACCTGGCCGCTGCTGACCTCCTGGTGGGACTCATGTGCATCTTGGAGGCGCTTGATGATATGTTCGATGGAGACTTTGATAAAAATTTGTTCTTCTGCCTCCTGAGGCTGTGTTTTACAGTGACTCCATGCATCGGATCTATACTGACCTTGCTTCTGATTTCCTTGGATAGGTACCTGGCAGTGACCCTGCCACTATCTTACAGTAAGATTATGAACATGAAGTCCATCTGTGCTCTGCTCACAGTCCTATGGACTATTGCATTCATAATTGGTCACATGCCTTTAATCTTTCCATCTCTGCAGCAAATCAATTACTCTGGCATCTGTGGTCTCTTCTATGCGGCCAAAAGCGACTACTTGTATATTCTGTGTTTCCTAGTTTTTCTGCCTGCTTTAGTCACAATTGTATGTCTTCACACTGCAGTGGGCAGGATAGCATACTCTCACCATAAGAGGATCCAGAGAACCAGAGCTGTTCTCCCGACCAATCACCCAACACAGTCCTCCAACTTCAAGGCAGCAAGGACAGTACTCATAGTCATTATTTGCTTCACATTGTCCTGGGGTCCATACTATATCACTGGCATCATCCAAGCTACCTGCACCTCTTGCAAACTTGTGGATTTATTGAAAGACATACTGTTTGTCCTGGGGGAACTAAATTCTCTGCTAAATCCCATCATTTACACGTTCTACTGCAGAGAGATAAGAAGTTATCTGCACAGGTTCATCATTTGCAAAAGAAGAAAGGTGAACCCACAAGGAGTAGCTGTGGTCCACTTCTCTAATATCAGGGGGCAGAGCATCCACGATGAAGCCAATATGGGACATATATCAGGGGACAGTGTCCCCAACGTGTCCATCTTTATCAGTTCTACTGAATACAGCAAATGAACCTTGCTGCCGTTTGACTATGGGATACTGCAATACAGAAACAGCCTTTTAGTGTTTTACTGACTTACTTTAACCCCACTAGTGCCAAGCAATGCTTTAACCACTTATCACAGTTAACTGACCCTTATTTTTACAAGGATGTGAACTGTTTTTGTGCTAGAAGATGACTATCCATGGTTTGTTAAGGGATCCAGGCATTTTGAAAAAATAACACTTTGCATTTATTTTATATACAGTATGCATAGCCAGCACAAAATTGAGTCAAATTGCACTTTTGTCTTTAGACCCATGTTCATGTATACCTCAAACACTAAAATCAGGTACATTTAAAAATAGATATTTTTTTCAATGTATTCTTATTTTGCTTAGCTGTTTGTTTTTTTGGGGGGGGGGGGGGGGGAGAGATATACCATTAAAGGTAATGTGGTATCCATTCTTTTCACAGTAATTAGATGTAGAGAACATAATTCAGATACAGGAATATGCAACCTCTGCACTCCAGATGTTGTTGACTACATGTCCCCTGATGTTTTGCAGCATAATGGTTGTGTTATGGGAGATGTAGTCCACAACATTTGGGGTGCCTAAAGTTTGCCTATCCATGTTCTATCCAATTGAGAAGGAATGACTGGAGAAACAGATGTGAAAAGTATTTCTAGGTTTTGGCTAGGAAGAGCAGCACATGTTTTGTAGGTAAGTGTTTTAATTTCTCCAACAGAGTTCTGTATTGTCATGATGGTGACATGAAAGGTGTTAATATAGAACTACAAATTATGTTGCATATACTCTTTATTTTCTGTGATTCAATTTGACTATTTTAATAGTTTGCAATCTTAGACTGTTCTATTTTTGAGTATTTATACCACTATATGCTCCATGATGCTCAGCCAGACTTTGTCATTATTGTTTCAGAGTAAAGGTGACTCAGATTCTGCTGAGAATCAGATTCAGATTCTGCTGAAGGACAGTATATGGAACCATGGACTTAACATATGGACTTTAAATAGAAAACGAAAGAAAACTTTATTTTTGATCTTGATGTACGGTAACTGTTGTATAGACTTCTGGAAATAATATTATTTTGTCATATAAAAAATACGTCATTTTCCCTAATCTAAAAATTATGTAAATAAATGATGCATCTTCAGAAGAACAAAAATAATTGCAATTAATAGTAATACCTTTTTTTTTTTTTTTTAAATGTCTTTGAAATGTGCATTCAATTAAAAAATAATATGAAATTGGCCAGGACGGGTTCTTTGCCAAGTGATTCTTAAGTAATGTTCTTAGTCATCGAATTCTAATGCCTTATTAAGTAGACAATATATTTTGCATATATATTATGAGTGAAAAAAAACTACTAATTACCCAATATGTCCTAAACATAGTTGCTTCTCTACCTTATGGGTCATATCATTCCTACCAACTTTTCAGCCTTTGTCTCCTCTCCTCTTGCCATAGCCTAACATCTACTCTGTAGCTCCTTTTAGTGATTGACATATCAACATATGCAACATAAGCAAGAGTCAAGGCAGGGGTACAACCTTATGGATTTAATGTTTACGCAAGAGCATTTACGTTAATCCAGTTTTTATTTACAATACACCATAATGTGGTCATATATCGTGACATACTAATCTTACATTTCCATTAGTTTTTTTTAATTGTCCAGGAACATCTAAATTGCCATATTATTATTGAGAGTTTCCCAAGATAGTCTGAATTGAAGAATTTGTCTCTTTGTTTATTTTGCAAACACTGCAGAGATTTATAACTTTCTGTGCCTGGGCAGTTAGAAATGAAGGTGGCTTTATTCTATCCCACTGCTTGTTTGAAGGGAAATTTAAATATTCATTCAATTTGTTCAGCAGACGAAGAATTTTGATCTTCATGGCAACTAAAATCAATTCATCCTCCGCTATTTCTCTATATGGCCGAATATTTGTTTCAATCTCCTTCACCTTCAAAAAAAGAAAATAATATTAAAATATTAGGGAGAGTGAGAAAACAACACTATGGTATTACTGTAATACTTGCAAATTACTTCCCCTGCCCAAAAAACAGGTAAATGCAAAACCCCAATACAGGGGGTAGGGGTGGGTTGATATCCTCCCTCTTATTACACCCTTGTGTGGGGAGTGATGGTAAATGTTAGTCAATTGCTGGTAAGGGCCTGATGAGAGGTCTATAACACTTTGTCTGTACTGAGTGTGTTTTACTTATAAGTGGATAGTGGTTTAACTAATTCACCTGGCCAAAAAGTAATAAAACTTGTACTGCTACCTTATCTTATCTGTCAAATATATTGAAACCATAAACACAGAAAGAGAGCTAGAAAGCATATATATATATATAATATATAAAAATAAAGTAATGATAGCACTACAAGGACTTTGAAAATATTGTAAAAAAACTTAGCTTTTTATTCAGGCATCTGCCACAGAAGATCAACGTTTCAGTTCTCTAAGGAACTTTCATCTTATATATGTATATATTTTTATTTATTTTTTTATGCATTGACTTTATATATACATATAAATACACACTCACTTGATTTTGCATCTTATCTCTTCTCCCCACATTTATTTTTGCCTGTTTCCCCATTGCCAAGAAAGAGACAGACATTTGGTCTTGTGCAATTATTCTGACACCAACTTGATGATTTAAAGATATGAAGATTGGTTTGAATTGAACGTAAGGCTTGGGGCTTAAGACACTTTGCCATTTCCATCTTCTAATTCTCCTGCCAATGTTGTCCAAATACTGTCCACCTACTGGAGTTATATTTATCCTGCATATTTAAAGGAAGACAGAAGACATATAATTTAGCAATTTCATAGCAATTTCAAAAAAGGTCTGAAATGTCACTAAATACAGTACTGTCACCATATACTGAGAAGTGGTATCCAATATATGTATTTGAGAATTCTAGGAAAAGTCCAATGACAACTGAAAGGCCAAGATTGGAAACCAACAAAATAGAGGATACTAATATAAGAACATTTCATGTAATGTATTTGACAAACGTCTTCCCTACTTGTGAAAAGAAAAATATATGAATGATACATTTCTATGATAATTATGCACACTTTATTTTTATAAATATATGGTCTCATTATTTTGTCATGTACACGTTCATAATGCGAGAAACTAAACATTTCCTCATATTTGTTTGAAATATCTTACGATCAATTCAGAGAGATCATTAATAACAATGAGCTGCTTCAAGGTGACCCTGAACAGCCTTCTGCTTTAGTTTTGTTTAATGTAATAGTTTTATTTCCAAAAAGACAAGGCACATCTAAATAGAATGACTTCATTCAGTGAAAAGTATTGCTTTAGAAATAACACTGAAACGTGTTATCGTCTGCAATTCTTCTTTATTTTTTAATTTAAATGTTTATTTCATTTTATACAGTTTTACATTCTCTTAGGATACAGTTCAGTTTTGATTCGTACATGACATTTTCCACTTTCATCACATCATATTACTCATCCTAGAATAATCTCATTCATGTATAAGATTCATAATATCCTAAGAGAGATATCAATAAAATATAACCAAGGCATAAATAAAAAATAAAAAAACCACACCAATAAATACATAAATAATTCAACATTATATTCCAAGCTGTATATCAATATCCTAATAATTTCACTCTTTAGTCAGTCTAAATCACACCTTTATAGATCGCAGATCTACTCAGAGATCCAAAACCACATAAAGTGGAAAATATATAGTAAAAAGATAAACCTTGTGCTTAAACCTAGTTCAACTGTGATGCTTATAAGTTCCTTCATAAAAATCTCATTAATGGTATCTATCCTGTTATATTTTCATTTGTTCCAATTTACTAAATCTGCTCCCATTTAAATACACACACACACACACACACACACACACACACACACACACACACACACACACACACACACACACACACACACACACACAATGACAACCAGTACAGGGGTAAAAATTTGTGTCAACTAAAAAAACATTTGGTTTTCATTTTTTATTTTTGTGCAAAGTTGTACAAACAAGCTTGCCTAGCCATGACAGCTGTAAGCATTTCAAAAAGTATACAATGCATTTTCATGGCACATCCAATAAGTTGCAAATTTTTGAGTTATAGTGTTGTAGAAGCTAAGATTCAGGGAATTGGGTTAACAAAACTAACATGCTAACGTAAGAAGCTAACTCAGTCAGGGAGCATGCATATGGAATAAGTGGCATGCTTGGCTTTTTTACTGGAGCCCTTAAAGGACCACTATAGTGCCAGGAAAACACTCGTTTTCCTGGCACTATAGTACCCTGAGGGTGCCCCCACCCTCAGGGCCCCCCTCCCGCCGGGCTCTAGGGTGAGGAAGGGGTTAAACTTACCTCTTTCTCCAGCGCCGGGCGGGGAACTCTCCTCCTCCTCTCCTCGGCTGAATGCGCATGGGCGGCAAGAGCCGCGCGCGCATTCTGCCAGTCTCATAGGAAAACATTCTCAATGCTTTCCTATGGATGCTGGCGTCTTCTCACTGTGATTTTCACAGTGAGAAGCACGCAAGCGCCTCTAGCGGCTGTCAATGAGACAGCCACTAGAGGCTGGATTAACCCTAATATAAACATAGTTTCTCTGAAACTGCTATGTTTAGAGAAAAAAGGGTAAACCCTAGCTGGACCTGGTACCCAGACCACTTCATTAAGCTGAAGTGGTCTGGGTGCCTAGAGTGGTCCTTTAACTCTGTTAAGGAAAGAAGATGCTTGATTCTGGTGGATGTGGACAGATATTAAGTTTAAAATATTCAAAAAAGCTAAATATGACATGATGGGTGTGAAGAAACCTCTGTTTTATGGACTGTTTTGTTCTCCCCCCCCACCAGCCCCTTAGTACACCAGTTTAAACCCTTAATAACTGTCATATTGTCAAAGTCTGTCTGACCCTTTTAACTGTCATTTTGTTTTCCTCAGAGCAGGAGTGGTTATACTGCATGAAGATTGTTGCTTTGTGTGGCATTAAACAGATCTCTATCCAGCATTAAGCCTTGGCACATGTGTGGAGGGTTGTGCTATGCTTGTGTCTACACTCTGCCTGGAATGATTATTCGCTAACTACTGTGAGAAAGGGAACCCAAGACGGTCAGAGAGGGTTGGACTGTCACAATGGGTTATTACTCAAACAGGCAATTCATGTTAAAATTTTGCAAATTGCAGTTGCGATTTAGAACACTTTAGCGTATCCTTAACAAACTACATCTAAATTCAAATACATTTCTTTACAGTTCAATAATAATTACAGCCGAACACATTACCTATGTGCTCTTTCTCCCTGACACTGACATGATCAAATTATAAGGTGTATGGATTAAAAAAAAGATATCTGTCATGGTAACTATGATAATTTAACCACCATTCAATGACTCCAAATGTGTTAAAGTTAAACCTACGGAGGAGAGCGTAGAAGCTAAAACTGGACTTGTCACCAATAAATTACATTTTAAAAATAGATTTTTAGCTCCCATCCATGAAATTATGCCATATATGGATTTCAAGCATAGCACTGAGAACACAGCACTCTCCTGCAACTTACGAAAAGTTAGAAAAAAGTTCATCTAGCCTAGGCTCTTATTAATATAAAATGGATGGGTGACATTAGATTGTAATTTGCCTTATAAATAGAAGAACTAAAGTAAGAGAACTAGCTGGGAAAGTTGTTTGAGAAATTCCATGTAAAGTTAGTTATCTTTACAGTGTTTCTCAGAATGAACTACTTTTTACCTGTCGTTCAATTACCCTATTGATGTTATTACGGGGGGTTTAGTTCTAATTCAGGAAACAGTTAAATTGCATACACTGCAAAGTAATTTTTCAAAAATGTCTCCTGACTTTTTTTGGAAGTTGATAAAGTAAATAATCATTAATTTTAAAACATAACAGAAGTCTACTTCCGGATGTGTTCGTTGTTTATAGGTTCAGAGCAGGCCTTTACTCAGGTCCCAGGAAATTTTCTAGAAATTAGAATTTTGCCAATGATTGTACATTCATTGTCAATGTGCTGGATACTATCAGGAAACTATCAGGGATATTAAAGTGTGAAATGCTGGAAAATGAAATTCAAAGTGAATTACAAATATTTGGCCAATATAGCCAAATGGGATGCAGTCTCCAAGTTAGTTTGGCTACTTGTGACCATAGTTTAATATTTACTTTCAATCCTCACAACTCACGCGTTAGAGAACAACTCTCCATGCTTGATTATTAACAGAGCCAATGTTGAACATTTTGTTTCTACTGATAAGTCTGTTATCAATCAAATGACAATAGGCCTTTTGCCATCACCAGCAAATTGTCTGCAGACAGCTGTTTAGTATTTGATTTATGTTTCATTTGATCTTATAATTTGAATTTGATCATGAAACACACTTGGTGACACTGAGGAATGAAGGGAGAGCTGCAGACAAGGGTTCTGTTTCAAGGAACGGGCCCTTGGTAAATTGATCTAGGGGCAAGTTACCGCGCTGCTTACAATAATGACAGCTTAGTATCTTCCCCACTCACTGACCCTAATTCCTTACCGTACAAGTGAGTGTGTATTTGGGGAAAGGCAACCTTTTAACGGTCAACACAAAAGCAGCAAGAACATCAAGAGAACAGTTTGAAACTTTACCTACTTCGGTCTCAGTGCATCTCTGAGTTACAGACACATCACTGACCAGTAGATGAGCATTGTTTATAAGACATTCCAAGCAAATAATCTGCAAAAGTCACTCCAACTTTAATCTGCACAGGTATTGGTTAATGAAATAAATGCTTTGAATCTTGTTGTATTCTATTGCACTGTGAGGTAAGCTGCTGCTATATAAATGGCAATAATAATAATCTTTGTAAATATGGAATTCTCATCATTTTTCATAAATAAAATCTTCATAAATATTAATGACTTGTTTATACATAAAACCTAAGCACCAAATATTATTGAAACAAAACACCTGAATCACATGGATTCATTTAAATAATTTTTTTTTTTTTTTACTGCATTGACTGTTCCATAATATTTTTCACATGGGTAACTTTCAAATGCTCCTGGGGTCTCTAGCAATATACATTAATGTATCTTCATTGATAGCCTTCTTTAACAATGCCTGTTTTATTTTTCTAATTGGATTCCCTTAGGAAAGCAGGTAGCATAATTTTATTAGCTAATATTGAGCTCAGGGATTATTTTATTTAAGAAAATCACCTCCAAAATGAAATAACCCCAAAGTTAACACTGTTACGCATGATTTGCAGAAATTCTTTGTTAAAGTAAATATAACCCAATATAACTGTAGCTATCAGCAGAATTCCTAGAATTAATGGTAAATCAATTATTGATCTACATTTACCATATAGATAACTGATTTAGCATTAATTCTATGAAAGTTCTGCTGATAACTGTGTTTTATATATACTTGTACTAGTAAATGTATTTGATTTACATTTAACACACACAAGTATATAATCTAGAAAATTTCTGTGATAAGTAGCAATATATTTCTGTACATATAATGGTGTAAAATTACATATGAGCAGCCTTTGATTTCTAGACTCTAATAATGCATAATTTCTATGCAATGTAGGCGTCAATGTGAAAAGATGATAATTTTAATGGCAAAAGTGAAACCATCAGGGGTTTAATAGTGAGTGAACCATTAGCTTCTAAAATTGTATCCTAAAGCAACTCACTGTGCAACCCACACTAATTCTTGCATTACCTTCGCTACTTATGAAAATATATAGAATTTGAACAGATGTTGTTTTTAAAATATAAACACAGCCAATGTAAAGGCAGACATTTTAAAATATTTGGCTAATTATTAATTCTAGATATCATTGTTTTCCTCTACCTCTAACATTCTTATTTTTTTCCTTTGTTAGTTTGTATTTTTTCTCTCTAAAGCCTGTTGCCTATTTTCCTTACTTTTCCCCCCAAATATAAAATGCACAAGCTGACTTACTGAGGGATCATTCATGAAGACATCCTTCAAACCCCTGACCTTTCTGCTATTTTTGAATGAAAACCTTTAAAAACATGCTGTATAAATATATGATTACAAGTTGTAACATATGCAGTGATCTGGGATTCAGTTTGAGTCTGCCTTATAAATGGAAGGACATATTGGTCGACATTTGTGGATAATTTAGAACTTTACAGTGTTGCTTATAATGCTGGCCAACATTGTTCTATTTGCAGCATTACACACTAACATGTAGATACTAAAGTTCTACTCTCATTTTCATATAGACAATAACACATCCCACAAAAAATGGCAATATCAAGACATTTGTAATGACAAATGGTTTTGAAAAAAGTCTTAAAACCAGGCGTATCCTTCTATTAATATATATATATGATTATGTAACCTGTGTTTTACTAACAACGCCAGGTGCTTGAGGCAGTATAACCATTAGTTTTGTTTACTGCTACAAAGGCTTCTAGCCGTCTTACTTCCTTGTGCCCTGAATGCTCCCAAATTTGAGCATTGATTGATGAGCCAGTTTTGATGTGCTATTCATTACAAAAACATTTGCAGGCTCTCTACAATGTAAATAATAATTGTTGCTGTTTGCCATCGGACCAGTTCCAGTGTTGGTTTCACAGGAAGAAAAACAATAAAGCATTTGTTATTCATGCATTTGTCCAACAAAGGATGAAATGATCATATTTGCATGCGTGGGGAGCACTATGCGCCCATTAGGCTTTCCCCACAGGAAAGTATTGACTCAATTTCTGTCAAAACGCTGGATGTCCTCAGGCAAAGATTCTACGAGGACCTAGAGGGTCTCCCTGAAGCAGCCTGCCACCCAGAAAAAAACATGGCTGAGCTTGATTGCTCAGCTGCGGTTTTATGAATGGAGTTAAAGGGCTCTATGCAGAGCTGACTTCCAGCGCTTCATAGATCTGATCAGTCAGTTTGGGGCCACTAAAAATGACCCCAGCTGACAAACAGGAGCCCCAGCTATATTTTAAAACCTAGGGTTAGTGGTATTAACAGGGCTTTAACCCTGCTCACACCACAATGTTAAAATGGCCCCAGGTCACACCAAGTCTGCAGGTATTTAAGCCCACGCTGCACAAATTGTATCAATGCATCTCTATGGGAAACATTCAGCCCCTCCATGCAGAGCGTGGAGATGCTGACGGCCAGTGCTGCACACAGTGCAGAAAGCACCTCTAGTGGCCACCTGAGTGACTGCCAATAGAGGTGTTACTAGGCAGTGATGAGAACACTGCATTTTCTCTTTACATTTAAAAAGTCTGCAGGGACGGGCTATAAACACAAGAACCACTACATTAAGCTGTAGTTGTTCTTATGACTAAATGTAGTTTGTCACGGCTTGCTTAGGGGCAGTCAAAACATATTAAGATAATATATACCTGTGTCATTGGCATATACATTTGATAATTACAATGATGGTATGATGTCAGAATGATAGAACCTAAACCAAAGTCAAATGTAGAAGAATTACATTAGCTATGCTTATGCTGTTACAATAAGGTTAACCAATAAAATAATGCCGATATTGCTAATACCATAAACACAGATGCACACAACTATTTCAAAAAGCTATCCCATAGGATTCTATAGTTAAGGGGACAATCTAAGCAACAAAACAGCTTTCTTAATAAAGCCATTTTGATGTGTAGATCATGAACAAACAGTTTCACTGCTGAATGTTCTGCCATTAAGAAGTTAAAACACTTTTGTTTCTGTCTCCATGAAAAGATTGCCTCATTTTCTTTTTTTTTCATATTCTTTATTTTGGGAGCGCAGTGAGTCAAACACAGCTTGACAGTGACATATATTGTGAAACAAAACAAATGGATACAGGTGTACATTCAGTGTCACGGTGAGTTATAGGGTCTGGTTCCCCTCCAGTTTGTCAGGCTTTCCACATTCTACATGCTCGGGTTTCAACATGTCCTGTCTCCGTGGTATCTTGAGCAGAAGTGATGGCGCTGCCGTCATTTTGGGGCCCTCCTGATTACCGGAGACACGATTTTTTGAGAGGAGCGTAGTGGTGGTCGTCGATGTGAGGGAGCACTAGTTCGCTGTTCGACATGTTGGTACACCCTGCATTCCAGTTTTGCCAGAAGGCAGCAAATATCTTGTCAAACCTGGTCAGGACATGACGTGGATCATCACTGCAACGGCATGAACAGGTGTCATCTGCCATATTGAGTAAGTTGCCGTCTGATCATTCAGCTCGTGTGGCCTTATCCAGAGTCCCGACTTTACCAGGGTAGCCTCCAATGGGAGGACCGGGATCAGGGCGTATGCATGCTGCTGCTTTCTTATGGGCACAGTTGGTACGAGAGATCGGTCGCCTCTCCTGCCCAATGCGCACCAAGCTGCACGGTCCACTTGGGTAAATAATTTCCCATTGGGACATTGCATGGTCTCTGACTTGAGGGTAAGGTAGGTCACAGATATCTGCCCAAATTGTGCTGGATGGGGCTTTAAGAAGCTTTAAAGGTCAGGATAGTGCGGGCGTACGTGTAAAACACGTCTCTCCGCCATGATAGTCAGGCCCTGTCCCCGATTGCTCCATTTTTAATCAGCATGTTTACTTTAGAAGTTCTTGTCACCTAATCTATTAATTAGACTTTCATCACACATATAAGGTTGTTACAGGCTCTAGCAGGCCAATAGCACAGCAAGAGTGAAGAAATTCTAAATTAAACAATAGGTGTAATAGAGTAAACAAAGCCAGTACAAAGTGTGGCTATGACTGCATAAACAAAGTGGTTTCATTGCTAAATGGCAGAGAATTGAGCAGCCAAATAAACAGGATCATAATCTGTACACCAAATCCATTTCTTTATGCTAATGATGTTTTGGTGCCTAGAGTGTCCCTTTAATTCTTTGAGAAATCTAGTGTAAATTTCGATACTAACACTAGTTCAGTTTTATACATTTAATGTTTTCCCATAGAACCTCCAAGGTATTCTAAAAAATAAGCGTGCTCCGAATTCCCCTTGTCTAAAATAATATCATCAGTCTAACATGGGTGTGTCTACACACAAAGCGTACTTCACTTTTATTATGTAGACAGTTATACAGCTCAATCTAAAGCATTAATCATTGTTTTAATGTAGACAGAAGACCATTTCTAAGAAACGAAAAGGTCAATAAAACAAGATCTTTTGGCAAGCACACACACACACACAGCTGCCTGACTCTGCCCTTTAATAAGAGCACTGGCCGTAGGCTTTCTATGTGTAATAGTGAAACAATATCAGCCATTTCGCAAATAAAATCAGTAAAATAAAATATCAAGTTCTCAATATTATTGTGTTGATATATAGCATACGATAGCTACAGTCAACAACATCTTCTAACAACTAGTACTAGCTGCCATGGTGTATCTGATCAGTGTTAATTATGCTGCTGATGAGTATTACTAAGCATTATTGGGAGGCAGTGATCAAGACTAACAATTTATTCAATCCAGCATTTTTGGGATTTTTGCGAGAACATACCAAACCGTTCCATTGGGGTGGTAGCAGGTGGCTTTTCCAGAAGAAGCAAACATGGCTTGTATCCCCGCATTATTTGATTTATCTTCTTGAACTAGGCAGACAGACTCTTTTTGTTTATCTGCTACTACAATGACAGCCAGGTTCCCTGATGGATAACTGGATGGAGATAAGGAAACCTTTATATATAGAAATACCTACTAATGCCACAAAATAAGGTTAAATAATCCAAAAGAATATAGTAAGTGGACACATTTCAGGTGCTAACTCTATAAAAAACTACTGATAAAATTAGCTAAGATTGACAAATAGAGTACAAGTGGTGAATTATTTATATGCTTCGATCATTTTATGTCTGAGACAATCTGCAGAGAACGTAAACAGCCACATTCTACAAATTCCCAACATTATCTATGTTTTCATTTAGGCTATTGTAGTCTAAAATTTTACATTTACTTTGAACTTACTTTGATTTCAAAACAATTCAAATTCACTGATAATAGCGAATTACACTTTTGGTGCGAAATACACACAGCTTTGCAAATTACTGCTTACATGTATGTTATATTGTTTTGTAAAGAGTTTATCTGATGGAGAAGAAACATAGAATATTTCCCTTTTTAGTAAGACATTTTTAAGATTAGTTCAAGTACAATTTCTCTCACAATATTTAGAAGAGGAACATCTTTTGACTGGTATTTTCACTAACCAATCAGGAAACTGGTATTCCCATTCTGATTTCCTAAGTCAAAGAGAGCAAAAACAACACCTGAACCATCAGTGTGTTACCTGCCTACAATATATCTGCACTAGAATATAATGTAACATTTGCAATACAAAGGATACAATATTTGTACTGTTCCATCTGGAAACATTGTGAGGAATTTCCTTCCTGTTCTGTAGTACTTTTCTACAAATTGCAGTGGTATCTGAAATACAATATGATTCTGGTTAGTATTATTTCTGTCAAACAAAAAAGAATGACATTGATCATGGATCTCCACTAGTCAAACACAATGACATTAAAGAAACACTCCAGGCACCATAACCACTACAGTGCACTGGGGTCCCTACCGTGATAAGTTGTCAAATTGTTTGCAAATGGTTTGACAACTTACCTGGGCTCCATCATGCACCAAACCAGAAGAGCTAGACGCTCCAACATAGAGCTTGTAATAGCTCCCCTTAGTTATACCCTGTAATGCATGGCTGGCTCATTGGCTAAGAGAGTAAACTGAGAGCTCTCAGCCAGGCCTGCACAACCTGCGGTCCTCCAGATGTTTTCAACTACAACTCCCATGATCCCATGGCTATCAGCCTTGATTCCCTGGCTATCTGTTTCATTAAATGAATCATGGGCATTGTCTGTCTGTTTTATTCTAAGAATCATGGGTGTAGTAGTTCAAAAACATATGGGGGGCCGCAGGTTGTAAAGGCCTGACCAAAGCACTGCACCACTGGATTTAGCTCAAAGCAGAGAGTTTCCAGCTGCTTTGAGCACGTATCCAGATAGGAGGAGTGTGATCATCTGGCACCATTAGCAGTACAACGCACATGAGTAGTGTAAAGGTACTTTGAGTCAACGAATGCAAGTACGTTTTTTACTTACCTCCACTAGTTAATTCACCATAATAAATTATTTATTTATAAAATATTTTACCAGGAAAGATACATTGAGATTTCTCTCGTTTTCAAGTATGTCCTGGGTCCACAAATCAATGCATTGTTACATTAGGTACAACAAAATACAAAAACAATATTAATACACAATATATACAAAATTTAACATAGAACAGGCAGGAAATATATAATCAACCATGACACGTGCATTCTGTTTTGAGGTATGTAGAGAGGGATCTCTTTTTTTTTTTTTTTAATTCTTTATTTTTCGTGCATAGGTTATGTAAGTAACAGTTTTCTAGCAATGCCACAACCGCTATCGCCAGGAGTTTAGTAGACATATAAATACAATTGTATGGCAGGAATAACTTTGCACATTTTTATATTTGTATGAGCAGGGTGGTTAATGGTCTAGCACTGTGCCAACGGGCGTGTGAGAGATTATGTTCAGAAGGAGACCTTCAGGTTAGGGAGCAAGGGCTAGTGTGCGTAATGGCCACCATGCGAGATTCCTGTTAAGTATAAACTTGTGTCTGAGTATGATCTGACTGATCGATATGATGGTGCCTGTCTAAACCACAGGCAGGCTTTGCTTTAAAATTCACACTGCCCAGTCGCCTTTTATCTTAGGTGTATGTGTCCAGTGGTTCTCACAGACTGGAATTAAACTATGCATCTGGAGCAAAGTTGGCTAATGCTGACAGTTCAGATTGACCTTCCAAGTGGACACCTGTATGGAGATCGGTACCTACGGCTTTCTAACCGAATTTGGCAATTTGGAGAGTAGTTAGCCAATTATCTAGTCCACTCCCCCTTCGAGCAATCCCATGAGTACAGTTTTGTTTGCAAATGTGTAGAGGTAGGACAGGAAAGTTGCAAGCTGTCTGACCTCTCCAAGTCACCTAAGCCACCCTATCCAGCTCGTGAACTGTGTACTCCAGACTTATTATGCATAAGGCTTAAAACATTTTTTATTTTTAAATTCAGAGTGCTAAGTCTATCTCTGTTGTTACCTAGTGGTCTGTGGTGTCAGTCGGTTAGTCGTGAGAGTATCTTGTCAGGAGGCCTTATCCTTGGTCCGTTCGAGTTACTCTCGAGGGGTATTAACCCTAACCTAGGGGCTGTCGGGGGGGGGGAGTTGTGTTCTGTATGGTAGTGCATATTACTTTAGTGCACTGGTGTGCCAACGCCATCTCTGATAGGCTTTCAGCGCGTCGTATGGGTTCTTAGAGCGTCATAGTAACTAGTGAGATATCAACAAAGCTTAAGTGGCAGAGGATGAAAAGGAATAGGAGAAAAAAATTTTAAAGAAAAGAAAATTTGCAATTTTTAGCCCTTGAGCGGGGCGGGGTAGGAGACTTCTCCCCCCACTCCTGTCATGTGGCATGAGTGTCCATTCTCCGCGTCCTCGGGATAAACGGTTCGATCGTCTCCGGGTCCCAGGCCGGGGTGGTGTTCTGGGTGTTCTTGGATGGCAGACCCAGTTTTGGTAGTAGCGCGGCAGCGTCGGGACCTGTAGCGATTCTGTATGTGTTTCCTTAATGTGTAACCAGGAGGTGGCGTGGGTTTCCCCACCGATATGGTATGCCCGCGGAGCGTAACTGGCTGGTGAAGTCGCTGAGGGTCCTTCGCCATTGGAGAGTGGCTCTGGTTAAGTCCTGGAAAAAAGTCAATTGAGACTCCTCGAAGTTGAGTGGCGTCTTGCCCTTGAGTGCCGACATTATGTGTCCCCTATCTTGGGGAAGGGTGCAGCGGACTATGACGTCTCCTGCGAGGGGAGTAGATGCTTTTGTCGGGGTGGGTAGTCGGTATATGCCGGCAAGGGTGAGTTTCCTTGCCACCGCAGGGGGAAGTATAGCTTGCGTGAGCCGTCTCAGATAGTGAGGTAGGTCCTCTTTGGAGACTGTGCCAGGGATTCCTCGGATTTTAATGTTGTTGCGTCTGTGTTTGTCTTCTTGGGCTGCTAGTTGTACCTCTAAGTTTTGTTGATTGTGTTGTAGTTGTAAGAGGGATTCTTGCAGTGAGGTGATTTCTCTTTGGATCCCCTGCACTTCTCTCTCAGTGTGTACTACCTTTTCAGTGATTTGTTGCATGCTGGTTTTAAGGGTAGGTAGATCTGCAGCTAGTAGGCTTTGTATTTCCTGCAGCATGTTTTGCATATGCTGTAGGTCCTGTTTGGTGGCTGGTTTGGTGGTACCCTGCTGGGGTGTGGGTTGTAGCCATGTAACCCCATGAGTGCTTTGCTCCCCTGAGTCAGACTCTTGTGGGGAGTCAGGGCCTTGTGCGGCCGCCATTTTGGCGGGTGTTTGCCTCTGAAGCATAATGCCTATATCAGGCTGATCTATACCTGGTGGCGGTTTCTGGGATCTGCGCCCCATCCCTGAGGTTCCGTGGTCGGAGCTGTGCCGAGATGTGTCCCACGCGTCCTCTATGAAGTCCCCGCCTGATAGGTAATCCAGTCCATGGTGGGCTGATGGGAGGTAGGCCCGGGCTCGTAGTTTAGGCTTTGCCTGCTTCGGGGTGTACCTGAAGGGCATTGATCGATTCCGGGGGATCTCCCCCGTATTATGCCGATGGTCGTGTGGCTGGATGGCAGGTTTGTGGGCTGATTTTCGCCGGATTAGGTCCGTGGATGTCGGAGCCCGCAGAAATGGCGTCTGGCCCGTCTCGTTTCCAGACTCCGTCCCCGAGAGGGATCTCTTAAATGACTTTAGGCTTAGGGAAGATTTTAAATTGTGCGGGAGGTCGTTCCACAATTGCGGCGCTCTGTAGGAGAAGGAGGATCGGGCCGCTTTCTTTTTGTATTGATGTAGACTAAGTAAAGTGCTTGTACTGGATCGGAGCTTATAGAAAGTGGGAACAGCTGGGGAAAGCATTTTGTTCAGGTAGAGTGGGAGTTTCCCAGAAAAGCTCTTAAAAACAAGGCTGGAAAGATGAAGGGTGTGTCTGGATTCCAGTGATAGCCAGTTTAGTTCCTTTAGCATGTCACAATGATGGGTCCTGTAATTACATTGTAGCACAAATCGGCAGAACGAGTTATACAATGTGTTGAGTTTATTAATGTGGGATTGCGATGCAGACGCATATACTACATCCCCATAATCAATGATTGGCATCAGCATTTGCTGTACAATCTTTTCCTTTACTGTAGGGCTTAGGCAGGCTTTGTTTCTGTACAGGGCACCTAATTTTGGATAAAGTTTAGATGCAAGCTTTTCTATGTGCAGGCCAAAAGATAGATTGGGGTCTAATATCATGCCCAGGTATTTGAAAGAGTGGACTGCGGTCAGTGTGCTATTTGAATTTGTTTTGATGGATAGGTGGGAATTGTGTAATTTGTGTAATTTAGGTACTGTTCCAAAGATCATTGTGACAGTTTTGTCAGTGTTCAGGAAGAGTTTGTTTTTTGCGATCCACTTTTCTACCTCTGTAAACTGGTCTTGGAGCAAAGCCTCAAGTTGCAGTAGATTGGATTTGCTCGCATAGATTACCGTGTCATCTGCGTACATGTGTACATTTGAGGATTGGCAGACATTAGGCAGATCATTTATAAATAATGTAAATAGTAGGGGGCCGAGAATGGAACCCTGGGGAACACCACACGTGACTGGGAGAGGGAGGGAGTCACTGTCAGAAATGGACACATATTGCGAGCGATCCGATACATACGATCGAAACCAGTTTAGAGAATGATCACCTGAGTTTTCGAGTTTGTGCAGTAGAATGTCGTGGTCTACTGTGTCAAAGGCCTTAGCAAAATCAAGGAAAATAGCTCCAGTTAGGGCTCCTTGTTCCATGCCAGTTTGGATGTCATTGCAAACTTTTAGGAGGGCAGTTGTAGTGGAGTGATTCTGGCGAAAGCCCGATTGATCAGGGGTCAGATAGTTTAATTGTTGGTAGTACTCACAAAGTTGCGTATGGACACATTTTTCTAAGATTTTTGACAATACCGGGAGCAATGATATTGGGCGATAGTTAGAAACCAAAGTAGTGTCACCACTTTTATGGATAGGCACTACTCTCGCAGTCTTCCAAAGTTTGGGTATGTATCCAGACACCAAGGATTCGTTAATTAGAGTTGAGACGGGTTTAGCAATTGCTGGCGCACTGAGCTTCAACAGCATTGCTGGGATTTGATCAGGTCTGGACTGGTTTTTCATTTTTAGATTATTAAGATGTTTTTTAATGACACTAACAGGTACAGGTCTAAAATTAAACTTATCTATATTGGGCCTTTGCAAATTTAGTGGGGCCTGATCCACATTAGTAGTTTCAGGATGCATGTCATTTATTAGCTTGGCAATCAGGGCAGTAGAGCATCCGACAAAATAATTGTTAAAGGCATTTGCTACATCTAAGGGAAGTTGCAGGGTTTGGTTACCCACTTTGACAGTGGAGGGTTGGGAGTGGATTGGGGGAGTTTGTAGTTTATTTATGACTTTCCAAAAGTTTCTAGGGTTTGAGATGTTACTGTTCAGATTTTCATAGAAATATTGGGCCTTGGCCAGTTTTGTCTGTTTTGTGCATATATTTCGCCATTGTCTATATGCACCGTGATCATTCATAGAGCCAGTACGCTTAAACTTTGACCACAAAGAATCCCGAAACTGGTACATTTGGATGAATGCTCCAATACCATTCACTTGGGTTAAAGAACAAAGAGCTGTCACTTCTCTGTGTGACAGTTCCACTTAAAATATCCATGACATTCACAACTGTGACTTCCAAACTGGCTTCCGAGTGTAAATCAATGTAACTACAGGCTTTGCTAAAAATGTTAAAATACAAAAAAAAAATTATTACATGCTGGGGTCTCACAAACCCTAGCATATATTCATTTGAACACTTTACTTTTCCTTCCTTTCCGTTCCCTGAAAGAGAAGTCTGCTGGTAGCTGCCCAACACAGTTACACTTCATCAGACGGTAAATGACATGTATTCCAAGAAAAAGCAAGGAAGAATTTTTTTGTTAAGGCTACAATGAGCCCTTTATATCCCAAAGTAGTGTCTGCAATGTTGGTAATCTTAGAAAATGGTTTGCAGCTACAGTTCAACATTTTTGAGGATTCTTATACAATTTTTCTTTTTATACCTATTTTTGGTCACTTCTATATGTGATAAAAATGATATTACTGTTTCTACCTCAAATTTAAAAATGACTGTTGTGTACCACCTTGATATCGCAAGTTGGAATTTGGCATTCTTTTCAAAACTTCGGCTTGCATTTCTGCAGGCACCCTTAGCAATGAAACATTGTTTTTAAACCAAAGCATGGGTTTTGATCCAATAAGACCAATTACCAGAAACCGGCCATGGACTTCACAGTGTCAACCTGTTGGATCTTGTCGGCAGAATGATGTAAAAGTTGAAGGCTCTCTGTTATTTGGCACTTGCTTCTATACCCATAACTAAATTCTGTTTGAAAGATTATGTAAACCATATCACTTCTATAACACACCATAACAACTTAAATTAGCTTAAAGGAACACTTCTTTACGTGCTAATATTTTTACAAATTTTGTAGATATCCCACAAATAAAACATGTTTGTATTTTTCCTGCATGAAGGAAATACTCCCTGGCTGTCACCCCTACAATCTATCCCAAATATGACAAACTCTAGACACATAGAGCACTTTATGAAGCTGAAGTGCTTTATGTGTCTGGAGTATTCCATTATATATGAGCTTCAGTTCAAGTGTTGTCATGTCATGTACAGAAGTGATCAGAGATTTCCAAATCCTCTAGTCCATGCACCATGTATGTTTCCAAGAGTGTAGCTGTTATCTTTCAATCTGTAGACCTGTGCAACCTGTTAAAAAATTCCACTCATAAGTGCTGCTAACAGAACCAAGGTGTTTGTGTGCAATAAATGCATTTATACATTGTGTGCACGTCTGATTTGTCTCAGTCACCACTCTAAATAGCTTATGCTGCAGTTTAACACGATAGCAGAGATTTATAATTTTTTTACGCCTAATTTTTGGTGCAGTTTATGATGTCAGATCTTTACATCGTTTTCTTTTTTCGTGCCCAAACTGTCATTTTTCAATTTAAACCATTTTTTTTTTAAACAACACAACATATTTATAATTTTTTTGCCTCTTTTTCTGAAAGAAATTTCTTCTGTTCCTTTCTCTTTTTCCTGCCACTCTAAATATGGCAGTGTTCAGAAATGGAGATTTCTGAGAAAACTGTCAGAAAATATTCTGATCCCTTTGTGATTAAAATAATGATGGAATTTAGTCATCACTTTACAGAACACTTTGATAAATAATCCCCAATGACTTTCTCAAGCATAAACATAATCAACAGCAGTATAGTGTACCTTTTCACTTGTTAAAGAAATGTCACAGTAGAAATAATCATCGTCCACTGCACCACCATCAGTTTCATGTGACGAACGTTCAGGTTTTATTGTACTAGCGTCCAGTTCAGGTGGAGTATTTGAAAGTTGAAAGGAAATGGTTTTCATTGATTTTCCATCTGATATATATATATATATATATATATATATAAAACAAAAACAATACATACTGAATAAACTATACATTTCTCAAAACACTCATTTAAAATTACATTTGGTGGCTGGGCAAAAAAAAAAAACAGCAGCAAAATGCATATGTAACAAATATCTGTGGTCTCACTTTATTTTAGTTGTGGAAATTAAAATGTTTCTCTGTAGTGTTAATAACATACATATACAGTGGAAGATTGACATTTTTAGATTAATTGAGCATAATAGAAAACTGGTAAATAGTGATGTTACTATAAGATAACTGTCTGGGATTACACTGTGATTGGTTGACTCTGAACGCCAATTAACCATATTCAGACAGGCAGGTGGTATAAACGATTTTGCTACGTGAAGAGTCCTTCCATTAATAGCTCTCCAGCCAATCAGCAGGCCGTAATGGATTTGTTTACTGCAACATGTTTTTGCCTTTTCCAAAGGGTTTTGAAATTATTTTCGTTTTTTTTTCTTTATTGCAGATGCAGCAAGTTATGATTCCTTTTATTTAGTACATGAATTTAAAGCTTTAGAAAGAACATACAGATATGAGATCTTGAAGAATGGATTTGACAGATAAGTGTAAATTATCCATTGTTAATTCAATTAACAATAACAATAATTGAATTTGTTTTTCTACTTACAAGAGGCAGAGGGTAGCTAGGGGCTTGTAACCTTAGTAACAGGAAAATGCGTTCCTACATCTATCAGGACAAGGGACTTGGCGGATAGATTGAGCACCATCTGTCCTGGCAACTGGGTCCATCTCTTTAGTGGTAGGTGTCTTGGGGATCCATTTTTAATGGCATATATTTTAGCTTGTAAATAACATTTTGGTGTAACTATTAAAAAAACAGCTTTGGGCTGTAGTAAATCTAGCTACATGTTTCTGGTCCTTATACTGAATTCAAATAATTACACATTTTATTATTTACCATTTGGTCGTATTAGTTCCAAATGTATTTTCTGTCCTAGAATTAAAAAAAATGTTCTTGCTTATTGTTAACTGCTTTTTGAAAACACTTCAAATGCACAAAGCAGAGCAAAAAAATCAATTGCTGTGTCCAACAGGTGAGGACTATTAAATAAAAAAAGGGGAAGTACCCTAATTCCCCCCTTTTAACTTTATATAGGGGGTCCTAGTGTGCCCTCCTCCCCCAACCATGAGCAACAGGTAGGAGCTACTATTTTCATACATGGCAGGACCTAGTGACATTAATGTCACTAGACATCAATGGGTGGCTGGGGGCAGCTACTCATAAAATATACAAGGGGAAACAAACCATTGTTCACCCCCCAATTTGTGCCAATGTCTTCTCCTCCCTGTGCCTAGGGGGTCCTCATATCAAAATATTACAGAAACCCCACAAATCTTACATCCCCGAATAGCCTGGATCTGAGCGCCCAAGTTATCTAAATAGTGCTCAGATCCGTTCCACAGAATAGTTCCACATGATAAAGGTCGTTGGCCGGTCTACTTTCGGGGGTTCCTGCACGAACACTCCCCCTGGCTTTTAGGGAGCAAAGGCTCCCCCTGCTCGGTAGTACCTATCTCCCGAACGCTGGTCTACTAACTTGTCTGGTAGAGAAACGAGCAGCAGTACAAGTTTATTTGGAGTTCATGGGCTTGCTTAGCTGTGCTAGAGTTCCAGACACTATGTACCGCTGTCTGTGTTCAGGAGACAAAATGGCCACCATTCACTCGCGCACGTGTTCGGTTATACGAATGGTGGCCACCCAGGGAAAGCACTTGACTTAATTGTTCAATTGAGGTTAACGAGTCAGGGGTGGTCGGTGTTCAAAGGATATAAAAGGGGCGACCACACATGCTCCATTCGGCCAATGAATAAGGGGGTACGGATCAATTCGGGAAATATGGAGATAGGTACGGGCAACCTAAGGGAATAGTACAGAGTCCGCCACACCAGTTTCTCAAAGAAAAAAAAAAACTGGTGAAAAAAATTAAAAACTCAACACAACAAAAAAAATAGAAACACATTCACCCCGAAATGGCTCAATGCAGAATGCGTTTCAAGGCAGGAAAAGCCTTTATAAAGAGCACTCTGATAGACAAGTCTCACTTTTCTTGAGACTTGCCTGCGAACAATCCCAGTTGCTAGTGGACATTTGAGTGTAGGATAGAAGGTCCTTTATAGTAATCTGGTTTGAATATAGTGGTTTAAATAAATTTGAAAAAAAAAACTAATTTACCACTCCATTTGCAAATTTGCTTGAGTTTCTTTACAGCTACTATCTACCTGTTATTTCTCTTTCCTACTCTGCGGTGAGACGAGTGCTGTTATGATACTGGTCCTGACTAATGGTAAATTGATGTTGCATTGAAAAAAATACACACTATATTTCAAGCGACTATAAAATGTCTTATTCTTACCCATTTTAGTGTGTTCAGTGGTCATCTGGGGATTTCCCCGTTGCACTCATATGAGATATGTATTCACCCACGCTATAGTGTTTTCATATTTTATTTCTTTTATTATATTATCAACTGTTACTACACTAAATACAGCAGTAGACAGCCACCTAGTAAATTATATTATTGGAACTCCTGTGGATTACACATGGTATTTCTTACACTACCAATAATTTTCTAAATTATTTCTATATGTCATATTGTTTTATTGTTTGTATTCAGATTATTGTCACTCCTGTTAACTCGTGTTTTTGTTAACATTTTAACCATATTATGGGATGTGAAGGAATCAGCTACAGCTGTGCCTATAGTCCATCTGGGCAGTGTATATGATATCTATTTTAAATATTTGAGTATAATTGCTTTGCAGGAATAAAATGGGAATTCATTGTGACTACATGATCATTGAAGCAAATAAGGTTTTTGAAAATCACACCACTGTATCTTGAATATGATATATATTTTGAATATTTTTAATACAATTCAAACACGTATTTGACACTATGTGTAGCATATTGTGTCTATAAAAAAATGAGATTAATATGAATAGTTTAAATGTCTTTAGTCTACAATGTTCTAGATTAGAACTATAAGTCAGTTCACGGGGGAAGGGATGCAAATCATTCATTTATTTTCTACATCTTGGTAACGTCTAATAAAGTATAATGTTGGTAGGAAAAGCTCAGGTCATGCATTTAGCCTTTTCTTACAAGGATTATATTTGCTAAATATGACCTACTTTATCTTTTATATGCATTTGTTACTTTATCATCAGAGCCCAGCCAGGAGCACACTGAGTGATAATCAAGGTATGGTTAAAGGGGAAACTATAGTGTCAGGAATACAAACTTGTTTTCCTGGCACTATAACTTCCTCCTCCCTTTCCCCCCACTCTCCTCCATTGTGCAGAAGGGGTTAAAAAAAACTGCATCCCTTACTTGGTAGATAGCCACAAGGTGTGGAGTTAACCCTGAAGGGTAATTATTACAGTTTCTTAAAAACTGCAATAATTACATTTGCAGGGTTAAGGGACCTGGGAATATGCACCCAGACTACTTCAATAAGATGAAGTGGTCTGGGTGCCTATAGTGCCTATAAGGAGGCCAGGTTAAAATTGTAAAAAGCTAAATTTTTTCTCCTTTTTAACAATATGGCAACATTTAGGGTGAGAATATCACAGCCTATGGGGCAATATACATGTACAATGTTTCAATATACAGCAATGTTGTGCTGAATAATTGTTTGGGTAGTTACAGCAGATATAATAGGATTATGGCATATCTGGGAAAGTGGCACATGGAGATGACTGTAACACGCATTATAAGCATAAGCATTATAAGCAGTTAAATAAAACTTGAAATATCTGTACATATGAAGTTGCCTCTTTGTAGGTACGAGTGGTTGCTACCCTGAAAATTAATTTTGTACTATTTATGTATGAAAACAATTTTAAAAATATAAATCGATGAGTGACGGTGACTATTTTCATTTCTGATGGGACCTAGTGCCCCACCAGATCACCCCAATATTTGAATACACGATTATTAAAAGTGATTTATGCCCAAATAGATTAAAAATATAATGTTCCTACAAACAGAGCAAGTGAAAATTAAAAAACAAATCTGGCTCTCTAAAGGCACATCCAATTTTCAATAAAAGTACTTCCCTCAGTTCATAAAAGGATATTAAATCCAGATTGTACAAATTCAACTCAAGAACACCAAACCAAGTATGCTAGAGAACAGCAAAAACAGTGCAAGTCAAGCACAGATTGAATCCATTAACATGAGCATTTAAGGCAGGGTTGTTGTTGGGTTCCAGGAACACTTAAGTCTTAAGCCCAAAGCAAACTCCTCCCCAACGTTTAGGAAGTCTTTTTATTTCCTAAATTCCTTTTGCCTCTCTGTGCATTGTGGATGTCTACCCAGCCTTGCTGATGACATGCAATAGGATTTCCATAAAGAAATAGCCAAAATAAGAACAGGCTGCTCAGACAGGTATGCAATCTGATCCTACATGGCCCAGTCATGCTACATCCATCATAGATACAGAGATGTAACAAGGAGGATCATCACTTCACCTTAGTAGCGTCGTGGAACACTTTACTAGTGGTTTTTCTTCGTACACTGAGCGGATGCTTTGAGAAGCAGCTGCCTAATGTAAAAATAAAAACCATCTAGTATTTCACTGCCCCTTCAGTATTTGGAGGATCTGGGGCTACAGCGCTCACAGTTCATACCTAGCAACAACTCTGCCTTTAGGAAAAAAGAACTAGCAGTCAACTGGAACCATTTTATAAAATTACATATTAAAACCTCTACATGAAGATTTAAAGAAAGATATGGGCCCATGCATCATGATTGAATTTTTACAGAATACTGAGTATTGGGTTAATATTGGTTGATATTGTGTTTACCCATTTTAAAACTACCCATAAAACACACATAAATACATTCAACCTGCTTTAACCTTTGTATTGATTTGTTTGTGAATCAATCCTCTCTATAATGTAGCACTTTTTGACGGACCTACCATAAAAACACAAAAAACCATACAGATTAAAAAGAAGCCTATCTCTCTCAAGGTTGGATTCAGAGCATAGGCTGTTTTTGCTTCTCAAGCACTCTCATCAGTTTTCCTCTTATTTTTTCAGCTGAACAAACATTTTTTATTTTCAGTATCCAACCCAGTAAACCCTTTTCTCCTCCTCATAGATTACCTTCTATACATGAAGTAACAAGGGAACAACATGTGGGTAAAAAAAATAGATTAGCAAACAACTGCATATTATTTCAACTTCTAAAATCCAAAAACAACAAAACACGTGCCACTGTCAAAATACTGATCGGCTGCACTGTATGCATTTACATACTTATAAAAGTCCATCAAGTTCAATATTTTATATATTTGAATTATTCTTTTGATCCAAAAGAAGGCACAAACCCAAAACACGTTTCAAATCTTGTCAAAAATTGCAGGAAAAAAAAATTCCTCTTGGCTCCAAACTGGCAATCAGATTTCTCTTTGAATCAATGAGCTGCTACCCCACAAATTAGCAATTATATTCTTAAATATTTTCTTCCAAAAAAAAAAACCATGTAGATGTTGTTAAAAAATATATACAGAATCTGATAAACAACCTCTTTAGGCAGAGAATTCTACATCTTACGTAATAAGTAATCTGCTCTTGTCTTTTTATTTGGACAGTCCTATTATTGAACCGATTACCACAGAGCTGTTTGTACTGGCTCTGTACATATTTGTATAACGTTATCATACTCTCTCTGTTGCCTTTTTTGTAAATCAAACAAGTTCAAAGTTTTTTAGCCTTTGTTCATAACCTAAATTGTCCATTCCCTAACTAACTGGGTAGCCTACACCTGCACTATTTCTAGCTTCATAACATCATTCTTCTTTAAAGTCGGTGCCTAAAATTGCACCGCGTATTCATGGTGGGCCATACCATTCATTTATAAAGAGGCAAGATTATATTTATCAATTTGAATCAGAACTCGACAAATGCCAGGCGCCAGGTCACCATGGTGACTAGGAATTTTGTCCTGGTGCCTGGGATTTGCCAGTCTGTTGAGCAGAAGTGGCGAGGGAGAAGTGGGAGGAAGCTGTCATCTTCCTGCTCTGCTTGCTTATGCGCCCTGTAGTGATGAGCCGGAATATGACGTCACTCTGGCTCCGGCATAGTAAACAGTGTGCGAGGGGAGCAGAGCAGGGAGATGACAGCAGCCGACATAAAATATTCCCTTATATGTGACCACTTACATTCAGTCTGGTAGTAAAGGGTTACTACAACCAAAATATCATCAGCATGACTGTCTCAAAGTGCGCATAATTAAACCATCCATGTTCAAATACATTGGTCTCCCAGTAATCAAAAGTATGAGTGTCCTGGTTAGACTCTGCCTGCTTCCACTTGTGTCACACTGACTAAACATGTGCAATTAGTTTCGTTCCGAATGCAAATTCAGATGAATTTCGGAAATTCAGACATTCGGATGCTTCCGAATGTCTAAAGTGCCAAATTTCCAAACCGAACCGAACTGACGAATCGAACCGCCAAAGTGCCGAATTTCGGATGTGCCCAAGTGCTTTGGATTTCTGAAAAGTGCCAAAAACAGGAGAGGGTAACCCTACCCCTAACCCTACCATATCCCTACCCCTAAACTAATCCTACCCTAACACTACCCCTACCTCTAACCCTACCCCTCACCCTACACTTACCCGAAGTCCTGAAGTGCCGAACCGAAGTCCCGATTTTCGGAATGCCAAACCGAATCGAATATTTTTCCCATGCACATCCCTAACACTGACTAGTTCTGCCTAGATTGCCTTCGTCTGAATGCTAGCCACTTATAAGGACACACTTTATACAATATTAAGGGTGTATACTAGAAAGAGCACTATTATCGTTACTGGTTTGAAAAGGATGTGGGGAGACAGATTATGTGGAATTCTGCTTTATTATTTATATTTATTTTATTGTTATTTTTCCTTAAAGGAACACATTATTCACCAAAACAACTTTTGTTTAATGAAGCCGTTTTGATGTATAGCTCATGCCCCCTGCAGTCTCAATGCCAAATCTCTGACATTTAGGAGTTAGATCACTTTCTGTATATAGCCCTATTCACACCCCCCTGCAAGTGACTTACACAGCCTTCCTGTAAAGATTTTTGGCAACTATAGTGTCCCTTTAAGACTTTATGTGTAACCCAATAACATGCATTTCAAAAATAGATTTTTATTACCATAAATTAATTCAAGTTAAATGAACTTACAGTCAGAAACAGCAGTAGGCTCCATCACCACAGATGAAAAGAATTTTGCCAAATGTCTTTGTCGGAGCCTGCATGGAAACAATATATTCACATAATTTAGTGTATTAAGACCACTCAGTAGTGAGGTCAAAAGTGTTAAGGCTGTGTGATATTTTGCTAATGATTTACGTAAAACGAGGGAGTGGCTCAGTGCAGTAATATAGACTATTAGAATATTGAGATGGATAGCAGTGTTTAGGTGAAGATTAGTATATCGTAAAGGACCTTGCAGTAATTATAAAAGCGACTAATGTATAGAGATGTGTCATCTTCATTGTTATGTTGATGACTAATGTTTTTTTTCATGTTTGGCTCTTGTGCTGGGCATTATTTGTATGGAAATGTTAATACAGTAGTCCTGCAGAATGCAGTGTTAATATTTGTGAACAAATAAAGGGATCAATTTTGTGGAAATAACTTTGTGATTATTCACTAAACTCCAAATAGCCCTGTGCCAAATAGGATAAATCCATCTGGTTTATTTACTGGGCCATTCTGAATGAATACCTCCCACCGGCATTCTACAAATCTGGACGCCAGTGGGAGGGTGGTAAAGGGAGCAGGTCAGTGATGCAATTGCATCACTAGCTTTGTCCCCAAAGGGGCAGACCTGCATGGAAAGGGTGCAGGTCTGGCCAAGTTAAAGACAGGTTAGCCTGGTTTGAATGCAGGCCAGCCCACGGAGCGTAAATCCTACAGATAGAACAGTTTTGCCTAGGAACACCTCTAGTAGCAGTCACTTAGACTGCCACTAGAGGTGCTTACTAGTTCAGTGCTGCGCAGTGTGCAGCACCTACGTTTAACATCTCCATGCTCTGCTCCTCTATTCCTCCCCATAGAGATGCACTGATTCAATGCATCTCAATGAGGATATCCTGATTGGCGCAGTGTTTTGCCATGCATGCGCAATAGCCTCCCAATGCCTTTCTATTGGAAAGCATTGGATTGGCTGAGATCATCAAGTCTGATGATCTCAGCCAAAGCAAAGAGCACACTCATAGGACTTGAAGATAATGTCATTTTTTACATCCGTGCACCAGCATACATTCACCATTTCAGTCCCATTATTAAACTTTTCTTTATAGGTCAAGGTTGTTGGACTAAAACATTGAATATATACAAATACACATCTGCATAATATAAACACATTTTTATGTTTATTTGAAGCCCTTTGAGTGCTTTATTTAGCGTTGGAGTAATCATTTTAATTTTTTAATTTTTTTTTAAATTCTTTATTTTGTTTGTGCAAGGTAAATTACAATACAGCCCGTGTGGCCACAACAGCCTTCTGGGATTCACGGTTCATTTATGACATCACATAATAGTTAGGCATATGTCTATCCTTTAATTTCAGCGTGTGACATCTGTGAATTCTGCAAATTTTTTGTTTAACCCCTTAAGGACCAAACTTCTGGAATAAAAGGGAATCATGACATGTCACACATGTCATGTGTCCTTAAGGGGTTAAACAAGAGTCATCTGGGGTCGAACTAAGGAAACAATATGGTATACGTTAGGTTTGTAGCTATTCCTGCTAATTCCTAGGGATGTAGTGGTGAGGGGGTGGGCAACCCTTGTGTTTATCAGTGAGTTGTCTCTCGTGGGTAGGCTGATTGTGTGTGTGTGAGCCCCCTTGCTTGTCCCGTGGTGGTGCTGGTTGTGTGCGCAAATGTGGTTGCTTAGTTAAGTTTACATCTGCGGGTTGGCAGTGTTAAGTCTGTGTGGAGTCGGCGCATCCTCGTCTGTTTGCAGGTGAGTGATTGTCACCCTTTAAACCCTGTAGCATTGTCTTGTTTGTCTGGTAGGTTGAATGTTGACGTGGGGGTTGCTTGCGCTGGGGTTTGTGTGTGGATCCCCAATGTTCGCAGGAACTGTCCGGTCTCTTGAAGCGATGAGAGACTGTGAATGGTGCCCTCTTTGTTTACAGTCAGAGTCTTTGGTAAAGTCCATTTGTATTCAATTTTGGCTTTGCATAGTTGGCTTGTAACTTGGTCCAGGGACCTGTGCCACAACAGCATGTTTCGAGTTAAGTCCTGATAAAAGGTGATATGGGATGATTCGAATATGAGCGGCGTCTTTCCCCTGACTACTGCGAGGAGCCTGACTTTGTCCGCCACTGAGTGGCATTGGATGATGACATCTTGAGAAGCGGTGGCTGGTGCTTGTCTGGCTTTTCGGATCCGAAAGAAGCCGTCTGGTGCAAACTTTTTGGCTGGGGCGTGCGGTAGGAGTGTGGCTGTGAGGCGTCTGAAGTAGTGGGGCAATTCATTAGAGTCTACGCTATCCCCCTTATTTTTAAATTAGTGCGTCTATTGCGGTCCTCTACTAGGTCCATTCTCATGGTGAGGGTGGACTGAGATGCCTGTATATGTAGAAAGTGTTCCTTTAGCCCCTTCACCTCCTGTTTCAGGTCTAGAATATCCTCTTCGGGGGATCTGCGGTTAACGCCTGTATTTCCATCCTCAGCAGTTCCATATCTGCTGCGTGCATTTGCCTCATTTCCCTTAACAAGTCGGCTATGTCTTGTTTGGTGGCTGGGGTGAGATTATCCCGGTTAGCCAGTGTCCCCTTGGGCGGGTGTGCGGCTGGCAGATCATGTTCAGCCCCAGGCTGCTCACCTTCATCTTGGGGGACTGGTGTGCGGTCCGACGAGGCCACCATCTTGGGCGCCATCGGTCGCTGTAGCAGGTCGCCTATGTCCTCTGCTGATGGTCTGTGTGGGTCTCTGGGACCTTCAGCCCATGTTGTGACTGTCCAGTTCAGCAGTTCTGGTCAGCAGGCGTGTGTCTTGATACGCTCCCTGTACCGTAGTCACCGGCTCAAGCCTCGTGGTTTGGTAGGTGATGTAGGCCCCGGTTCTCCGACGGGTCTTCTTACTCGTTTGTGGGAACAAAAACTGCATCAGCCTGTGACTTGTCCTCGAGGGTTGCCCGGGAGGCTAGTTAGTGCTTCCGATGGTACCGTGAGGCCTCGGTTTAGCGTAGTTTAGTTGTCGTTTGCCCGGAGCTCTGTAGTAGTCCGTTTTCAGTTATCTTTTTCATCTCTATATCTGCACACTATGCTGGCGCGATGCATTATTGGGCCAGTATATAATTTTTTTCCAGGGCTGCTTTTCATTCCCAGTCCAGCTCTGCTTAATGAACACATTAAGTTTTTGCCAGATACACAAAACAGAGAGACACACACTTGCAGAATCCCAATTTTCAACTTTTAACGCACGCAGTCTAGTGGAGAGACAGCTGGAAAGAAATGGAAAGTTTAGAACAGAGGGAAGCATGAGTTGGATAGGAAGACAATTAAAGAAAGAAACTTGGGAGAAAGAAGGCAGGCAGATTGGCAAAGAGGATAACTATAAAGAAAAAAAGATGAGAAATGAGACTAAAGGGAGATGTGGAATACATGAAGGGGCGGTAAACTAAATGTTTTCCTCGGGTGGTAAAAATCCTTGTACAGGCTGTAGATAAGGGTACTTGAGATTTTGTTCTTCAAACATGCAGGGATATTTTTACTGAAAATGTTATTTTGTCAAAATTTACCCTTCAGTGCTAGCAAAATATAGAAGAATAACATTTGTAGTCAGGGACAAAAGCTGTAATAATGAGCAGATAGATGTATGTACAAGTCAATTGTGGTGTGCCGAAACCGACGTATCGGGTAGGCCTGTAATAAAAGAGGGCCCGCCAAGTAAATTAGAAAAAGGCAGAGGTGGGATGAACCCACTGGTGATGGCCCTGTGATGGAGAGGGCCTGAGTTTATATAGCCGAGTAACCCCTCCCACAATTACAGGTTGCGACTTATATATCTTTGAGATAGCGATATCAATTGTTAGTAGCAGTATATGGGCGCCATTGACAATGTGATGACCAAGCATGCTGAAATTACGGTACAGTAATAGCATATGGGATGCGGTGGCTCAACAATGCTATAGCCACTTTCTTCTAAAGAAAAACTCTTTAGGTGATGTAATGTTCTCTACAGCTGTGAGCTGAGAAAACCTTATAATGACAAGCCTTTTTGGACGGGATACAAGAAACTATTTGCTAATACAATGTCACCAAGAAATGTTCCAGATCATTCTTTTATTTATATAATTCATGAAGAGTGAGTATGTTAATATGACAATGTTTACATACACACAACACTTCATCGAGATCATTCATCCTGAAATAACGTGTGGGAAATAGTGAACAGGCAAGTTACTAAAGAAAGAAAAAAAAAATACCTTTCCGCAGCTTTTGCCTTTGCTTTTTGTCTTTCTGCTTCACTGCCATAAGGTTCATGAGGAGCAATCGAAATATTCTCCACTGAATCTTTCTTAAAAAGGTGCATTTGCTCTTTGAAAAGGAGCTCAAACATATTCTTAAATTTACTGCAGCAAAAAAGCTGAAAAAGAACCATATACTGAAAATAAGAAGAAAGCTGTAGAACGTCCAACATTTTAACAAGGAAAAAATAAGACATTAATAATTGTTTTTATGGAAATAATTTGGGAATTATTTACACGCATGTAACTGGATCCTAAGATATGGTCCTGTCAAAATGACTTAGGGACAACATATTATGGTAAATTGCAACATAATTACAATATGGAGACCAAGAATAGAAATTTTCTAATTTTTTGCTATTCTCTCCTATTTTGATTTAAATGTGGCATCTTGTATGTCAATTTGCCATAATTTACTAGTTTATAAAACTACTTTAAATGTATTAAACTCGGTATTGAAGGTGATACTATTACACCTTACAGATCTCCCAATACTAAAGTCACTCGGAACATCAAGTGAACTTGATAAAATAAAAAGACTGCTGAAGGGGGGCGGAGCTTGGCCATCGAGCTGAACGGACGCCATTCATGCAGGCTTCTCTGTAAACTTTTACAATCCGAGGAAAATCTCACTACCATAAGCCAATCCAGCTCTACAAAGCCACCAGCAAGACTCCCTACCTCCTCCTGAGGCGATAGATGCCATTCTTTGCGGATCCACCCAGCTAAAGCGGAGGCGGAAAATCGGGGCCTACCCCACGCTGACACTCCCAGGCCTGGAGAAAATATGACACTCCCAGGCCTGGAGAAAATATTCAGCGGCTACGAGACGAGACAAACACGGGACGGTGCCTCCCCAAATAATGAAAAGCCAGGAGTCAGGGATGCCAGAAAACAGGCATGTCAAAAACAATGCCAAAGTCAAATAACCAGAATAACCAAAATCAATAACATGCTCTCGGACAACCACAAGGGAAACCACGACAGGGCACTGAGCAGGATGAGAACTGGGCCTAAATACCCCTCCTTTAGTTCTGATAGGCTGTAACCGGCCTTTGACCCCAAAGTCAGTTACCAGGTTTCATTTGCATAATTGCTGCTTAGCATTAACCCTTCTGTGGATTTGGTTGCTGCTCGGCACAACTTTTCATGTGTGGACAGTAAATGCCATTAACCACATTTTTATAAGTGGATGAATACGTGACACACTACACGGAACAACCGGAGCCAGGAACAACCATGGAAACTCAAATAGAGCGGTAATCAGAACCCGAACCTCCAGCAGACATGACCCCAACATCCAGGCACGACCTGAAAATATTACTGTCGGACTTCCACAAAATCCTAGCCGCAGAATTTTTCCCCTATCAAAAAAGATATCATAGCCACCACAGACAGGGTGCAAGCATCCGAAAAACACATCACAGACATACAGTCCCACCTAGCCGAGCTCCAAGAATCTGCGCAACAAGTCTGGGCACAACAAAGAGCCATGATGGCACAGCAGACGGCCATGGAGGAACGTCAACAGCGCACAAACATAAAAATAAGGGGCATCCCGGTGGAAATCTTACAAGACGAACTGCCGCACTACACAAAACACCTACTGGCCACAATCTTACTTCACGCTATAGTAAAGAGAATGGTAACAGAGGAGATATATCGCCATCCCACATCAGCAAAGGCGACTTCAAATGTGTCCAGAGATGTGACACTCAGGTGCCTAACGGTCCATGACAAGATACAGGTCATGTCCGCTCTAAAAGGTAAAACACCTTTGACTTTTGAGGGCGCTAGCCTGACTTTCTTCCAAGACCTCACGAAAGCCATCCTCATGTGGCGTAAAACTTTCAGCTCTCTCACTAGCAGACTAAGGTCGGCAGGCATAACTTATAGATGGGGGACAAAAGGCTCCCTGGTGGTACACCAAAACGGAACCCATCACACGCTTACCTCGATGGAAGAGGCACCCACACTCTTAGAGATCCTGGGACTTGAGCTCCTGACCGCTAATCCGCCCCCGAGACCCACTACTGCTAACTGGGACCTGGAACATGCCACACCATTTGTCCCAAAGAACAGGAGCCCCCAGGCCCCGTAATCAAGACAGCTGTAGGGGACTGGCTGACAGCAAGGCACAAGAACCTATGGAAGGGACCCTATTCCAGACCCAAACTTTACCTTAACAAGTCTAAAGTTTTCTCAACCTTTCTGATGAATTGACTTATATAATGTTTTCTTTTTTTGTTGATGCTATTTTCCTCGTTGGAACTAATTTCATTACTAACCTAATATTGTCATTGACCTTAAATGTATGACACTACATGTTCAGTATGGCTCATCCCCTAAGACACAACACTAGACACACATAGATGGCCAACTAACCCTGGACAAGGTAGTCCGCCAAACATATAGAAGGACGACAAGAACACTCTTACCACCCTTTCCCCTCCGCCCCCAGCAACTCCCGTGGTTAGAAGTACCTTTCACCCATAGAATACAATCACCAACTTGCGTAGCAGCAAGAAGGAGAAGCTACAACCGATTATCTACACACCTCAGAGGTCACACAACTGTGTCCACTCACCACTATGCTCACAAGACACTCTCACTTCAAATATCTTTACACCCAAGTGTGCAATAACCACGGACGTACCACCCCCTATTTAGCACCCCAGCACATGGGTCAAGGATGCTAGGACTGACTAAGCGACCCACACCTATAACCAAACAAGATAAGATGTATCATGTACAGCAGGACCTAGGTGCACGTTTACAGCATGTATAACATTTAAAAATGGTGCAGTCACTCAATGCCACCTACCCGTGCAATGTTATATATCGGAACCTCTATTACGCAAAATACTGTTTTATGTATGGCTCATGCAATGCACTGCAAAAATAAAGATTTTTTTTTTTTAAAAGACTGCTGAAAAGGAACTTTAAGGACCCAAAGATTTGAAGCAATCAAGAAGAAATATCCCTCTGTTTCAAAATGATTCTCAGTTTTAATGGGCTGATTGAGGGTCAAATTTTAAATGATTTTTATTTATTTCTTTGAACAGTCAATATATAAAGGATAAAGACTTGACACAAAATAATAAGAAGCATTTCAAAGGTCGATAAATTGAACAGGAGAATGAAAAAAATGCACTGGGATGCAAAAATGCTATGTATCAGGTCACAAACAAACATAGGTCTTGATTTTATATTGTTGGATACGCTTTTCAAATGATTTAATATTTTGAAATAAACTTTTAAGAATAATTTAATACAATTAAAAATATTTTTTTTATAATATTTCGATATTTTGGTATACAGATATTTTTTTATGTATGATAAATCCTATATTCAATTTTTTACAAAAAAAAAATATATTTTAAAAATGTATTTGAAAATATTAAATCAATTGAAAAGCTCATCAAACAAAATTAAATCAAGGCCATAGCTCGGTACTGGACCAAAGACCTCCTCTGAAAATAATGTGTTAAAACTAGTTTTTATGATCATTAAAAGCCTTATGAGGAAAAAAAATTTGCATTGGGATTTATTCACCAAAAGTGAATTGTATGCAACTAAAACTGAAATGGGAAATGTAACTCTATTCTCAGAAATCTCAATACTTAATTCTATTTTGCAATTCTCCACACTGCACTGTTTAGTCAATAAACTCAATTGAATTCTATGAAGGCCTGGCTAATCTTGTAGCAATGACATTTTCCCCATTGTTGTCATATGAAAAGATCTCTTCCAGACTCTACATGCAGATCTTTGGAAATATGTGAAACCTGCTAAATTAAAATCCATAGGAATGTTTGCTCTCAGTGTGCCAGATAGAGCTATGAAATTGCTTCGGCACTTTGACTTCGTCTAAATCTATTATCTAGGGGCCAATCATTAACAACGAAAAGAAAAACAGCATAATTCTTACTGAATCCAATCTATATCGCATGTTTAGAGCTGTACATATATTTATTTAATAGTCCACTCCAGGATGTAGCTGGCCTCTTCTGTTAATTAATTATGCTTAAAACCTATTAAAAGCATGCAAAAATAATTACAAAAAAATAATAGATGGGGCAGAGCATGGCGCACAAGCTCCTGGTCATTGGGCAAGTTCTGGGGTTTAATCCTTGGCCCATCAGCTGTGACTAACGTTCCAGTGCTCCACGGGTTTAAGGGTTTCCCAGACCTACACATTAAGCCTTCGCTCGACTTTCTAAGCCTCTGGGAACCCGAACACTTTTGCCGTGGCCTACTAGGAGCAGAGCTGGGGAGAGGCGGACGATATCTCCACTCTACGGATCCTGGTACAGACTTGCTGCTTAACCCCCCCACTCCCCCACTGGACCGGTGGGGGATATCCCGGTCTGCATTGAAGCCGATCAGGCAGTCACTGCTGCACTTACCTCTGACCCAAAGTCGAATTCCAGCGGCAACTCAATTACCAGGCCTCACCAAGAGGGCGAATTGGGCCTAATCCAGCCACGCAAGGCCTTTACATAAATCAAAGTCCCCATGATGTATCTATGGAAACCATAATGCAACGCTTGGCTGCCACATTCCAGAACTTCTGGCTCAGAATATTGGCACGCCTGGCAGCCTCAGTGACCACACCGCGTAAGGGCAGGGCAGCCACAGGCTTGGTGCTCCAGAGACGGGTGGTACCACTCAAGGCTCCTTGACTACGCAAGCACCTGCTTTCCTTAATGTTTGCCATCCCAGGCCAAGAGCCTCAAGACGTTTTGCCTCTAAGCATCGACCACGTAGGCCGAAAATCAACCACAGCCAGCGACATTGGCTATCTAACAACCGTCCCCAGAAGGTGATAAACTTGGCACCCATCGGACTCCAAGTTCGTGGCTTGAAGATGCCCGCTCTTCCTTGGGCCTGGGGCTGGAGGGGATCCCCGCTCTGGTGCAGCTCTATGGATACTCCAAAGCACTCGCACAGCTGCGTCCTACCATGGCTTCCTATGGGGATTGGCTGACATGGACTCTGAGCCCGCTGTCTGAGCCACACTAACGTCTCGTGTTGGCAAATGCTGCATAGCTAGCATCGCTAGATAAATGGCACAAGAAATTCTCACTATGATATTGTTTTAACCTTTGTTTCCCCTTTTTCTTGCCGTCTCGTCCAATGCAGTGAGTTAGCAATGTACAATGTTTCAATGTCAATAGCATGTATTTCTTTCACATCTCTGAAAAAAACAAGCTTGTTGCACCTTCTTGATATTCTATTATAAAATGTGCAGTGTTCTCTCATGACATATTAAGCTATACTACGTCAATAAGTCTTAAAGGATCACTTTAGGCACCCAGACCACTTCAGCTCAATGAAGTGGTCTGGGTGCCAGGTCCATCTAGGGCTAACCCTGCAGAAAAACTGCTATGTTTACATTAGGGTTAACCCAGCCTCTAGTGGCTGTCTCATAGAAGACACTTACGTCCATAGGAAAGCATTGAGAAATGCTTTCCCATGGACTGATTGAATGTGGGCGCGGCTCTTGCTGCGCATGCGCATTCAGCGCTGACGTCGGAAGAGGGAGGAGATTTCCCCAGCACCGAGGGAGCCAAGCGCTGGAGAAAGGTGAGTGTTTAACCCCTTCCTCCCCCTTCAGGCCAGCGGGAGTGGGTCCCTGAGGGTGGGTGGGACCTATAGACCCTATAGTGCCAGGAAAACGAGTTTGTTTTCCTGGCACTATAGTGGTCCTTTATATGTATTCTGGCTAAAATGTCTTTTAGATCCTGTATTTCTCGCAAGCATGCAAAAATAAAGAATCTGAAAAATAATAAAACTTAAAAATAATAGATAAACGCAAAGCTTCTACTGAGCATAATCTCTTCATTGTTCAAGCCACAGCTGTGTAATAGTAGCTAATGCAATGAGTGTTCTCCCAAACGTACAGGAATATCACTAACCATGAGACATCTGTCATGGCATGAAATGGGCATAGGTAAATTTCAATGTTCTCATGTTTCAATGTGAAATATTAAGGGGTTAAAACACCATTCTTGGATGGAGTAAGCCTTGCTGGCATGGCCTCCTTATAAAAGAAAAATAAGGAAAATAATGGATAAACTTACTCTTGATTCCATACTCCCCCAGCATACCAATCCTCCGCCAGTGAAGTCATTCCCTCTCACTGCACGGTGGAAGGACATCCTGGAAAGTGGGCTAAAATAATTTGGGATTCCTGAGGGGGAGGAGGGGTTGTGCAATCACTGCCACCATGCTATGCATGTAGATGACAGAAGATGTTTATGCACTTAATTAATATTAGATGGGTAGCTAATGGTGCTACCAGAGGTGGAGTTACAATTGCAATGTGCTACATCTTTGTAAACTGAAATGGTGCACATTATTATTATTATTTTATTATTTATATAGCGCCATCAGATTCCGTAGCGCTGTACAAAGGGTGGACTAACAGACATTTAATTGTAAACAGACAACTCGACGTACAGGAACAGAGAGGTGGAGGGCCCTGCTAGATGAGCTTGCATGCTAGAGGGAGTTAGAAAAGTATTCGCTGAGGGCTTAGTAGATAATTTTTGACAGTTGCAGGAGAGGAGTCATGGAGTCATGGAGTTTAGTGTTTGGAGTCATACAGGCTCCAAACACCATGACCACTTCAAAACACTGCAGTGGGCATGGTGCTTAGAGTAAACCATTAAAGAGGTACTGTAAGCAACATAACATTGTGATGGTGCCTACAGTGACTATTTAACATTGTTTTCCAAGCTCAGACAGAAGTGTACTTAAAATGTATTGGATGTGGAACTTCTACAATATCTTGAAAGGCTGTGAGGGGCTGGGCTTTGGGTGATCTCTTTTTTTTCCCCCAGTCCTCTTGAAAACAGTTTAATAAAAAAACATAATAACTTCACCAAAAAGACTTCTTGTTTCATTACAGCAAGCACTAGTAGGTATAAGCCAGTGGTGTATTTTGGATTTGTGCTGCCCTAGGCAAGACTAAATTCGGGCACCCCCAAAATCTAAATTTGACCCCCCAATTCGTGTCAAGGCCACTTTTTTGACTGACCTCATTGATACATGCACTGATATACACTCACTGACAGATACACAGTCATTGTCACACACATATAGTCATTGGCACACACCAACACACACTTTCACTGACACACATTCACTGACAGGCACACACTCTCAGATACACATAAAATGACATACACACACTGACACACCCATTCTCACTGAAAGACAAACACACTCTTTCACTCACTCACAGACACACACTGACCGCTACACTCACACACCCCCCCCCTAAAGTGCCTTCCTAGGCAAATGCCTTCTTTGCCTTGTGGTAAATACATCCCTGGTATAAGCATCAAACAGAACAAGCACTATAGTGAAAGATCTTGTTACCATACAAATGAATGGTAATCATTGTGTGCGCTTTCACCATATTGCTTGTATTGTTTGTGTTTAATTTCGAGTACTAAGGGTAGCAGTACTAAAGGTGTTTTTATAGCAGCACTGTATAGATTGAACACATATTAACATATTGGATTCAAAATGTTGACTCAAGTTCAGGAATCTAGAAATTTATCAGACTCACTATTACTCAATTCCACACTTGTTTCGAGAGATCATCAAACTACATCACTGAATTCTTCAAAAGATTATCAGCAGTCTGTTTCATATTGAAACATTACTTGTTAAAGTAAAACAGTTTACTGCTCTTTTCAGGGCCATCTTTGCGTACTTCTCTGTCCCTGACAATAACCACAAACTCCTTAGTTCTATTTATAAAACATGCTGGCATTCACAATCTGTTAGTACTTACCTACTACTTTCCCATCTGTTAATATTACACAGAATTCCTCATGTCAAAATTCCACCTGCCATCCCTCTCTTCTCCATCAATTTACTTAACACAATCCTCCTTACTAATCTCATAATTACTCCTCAACCCTGTCTAATGTCCCAGCTACCAAATTACAAGGTTCCAAAGTGAATTCCAAGTGAATTTAATCAAATTTAAGGCCAGAGTAGCTGAATGGAAAGCATAGGTGATTTAGAGATGTTTTCCAGTTTGGCTACCTTGACCTTAAAATTGAAATTCAATGTGAATTCACCTTGAGTTCTCACTTTAGTGAATAACCCTGGGAGTTATTTTGTGTAAGCTCATAGGTCACGCAGTCATGGACCAAGTGCAACAATGATAGCCTGCAAAATCAAGGCAAGGGCATATATACTGCTTTATGCTATGTATGTGTTATCTATGTTCAAATTTTACAATGTAGATTAAATGGTTTTTGCTTTTTTTTTTTTTTAAATAAAGGTAATACTTACTGCAGTTGTTATACAAACTTCAATATCATAAAAGTTACATTTATGAACATATATGTATATAAACTCTAGGTAGGGATCCCAGGCTCCTTATGTGTTGTCTTAAATGTTTTGTAATAATTTTAATGTTAATGTTCCCATGGTTTGCTCATATTTGATATTTTACTGCTTTAGATCTAATAAAAAAAATAAAAAAAATCGAATAAGAATTATATTACCTCATCAGAGAAATACATATCCTTAGGATAGTGAACAGGGAATGGCTTCAGTGGATTTCCACAAAATTCACACAATTCATTTTCTGACTTCTCCTTTAAAACCTTAATAAAAAATATATATATATATAACATATAAACAGAGAATTAAAGCATCTTTTAAGGAATTTAGTTTTACATGACCTGTTTTGCCTGAACCAAAAGTTTTCAGAATTAAGCTGCAGAGTTTCATCACACAAAAACAAAAGGGTTATTCGTTAACGTGAGAAATGCAGGGATTTCAAAGTACATTTTAAATTTAAAGTCAAATTTTTTTTCCTAAACGTTGAAATTCTCTTTGATTTCACAGCAACTTTCACTTTAGTAAAAAAAAACAAAAGTGCATTTGTCACCTTTGAGAAACTTTGAAAACGTTCCTGCAGCTTCTATTATGCCCTATTTGGAAAAATCCTACCTGACAATAGGTCTACCATTAATGGGCTCATGTTCTATTACTGCTTGTAAAGTGGTCATGATACAGTACTTGACCATCTATGGAACAGGAAGTGGTAGCACTGGGCAAAATAATATACTGGGCCAATATATAAGCAAGTACAACTTCAGCAACATGCCTGCACTCAGGCAGCTGAAGAAGTAGGAATGTTTGTGGTTTACTATTTAGTGAACAAGTGAAATGGCAAATCCAGGGTTTCTTATACACAATAACAATGAGAAATGTATTGTTTACTTCTTATTTAACTATTAACATTAATAGTGTGTCCGGGTTTGTACTGAATGTAAAGTGCAATAAGACTGAAAATCTAGGACAGGTTTGGCAAGCTTTAAATTAATTTTTTTTCCTAAAAACTTACAAAAAGTGTAAAAATATTTCACGCTTAATTATAGCAGCCGTGAACAAATATAACTATTTGTATTGGAGGACAAAAGAGCAAGGCAGTGATATCTTAAAATATTGAATCACTTGAAAAGCTTATGCAAACACATTAAATCGAGGCCTATATTTGAATTTAACCTTGTGGGTTGATTCCATTGTGCAGCCAAGAGTCAGCTATTTTGTGTATATATAGGACTCTTTCTGACAGCACGTTGGACAGCAGAGGTGCATTAGTGACGGTACCATACCCTGTAGAAGGTGTTAAGAACCATGATTCAGAACACTAAACTGGTTTGTGATAAAAAGCTGCTGTGTAATTGATAAAGGCTTCCATGATATTCATGGAATCCCGGGTTGTTAGATGTGCTAAACTGAATTAGTTGTTTGTGAGTTGTTCTCATGAGATGTATTCCTTGCTACTTTGCAGTGTCAGTCGAGGTATCTCAAAAGAGAAAGGAAACAAAATACATAAAATGGTGAAATTTTTTAAATAATAGGCTCAAGTATAATAGTGTAGCAGGGAAACACTCGCACTTTGTAGAGCTACTGAGAGCTCTGCTGTTTTCAGCGTGGATGGTATAATCCCTGTCTAAGGATATATTGCAGCAGTGATAGTATTACTCCTATATACTATAAAACCACACTTTACTTGGGGTTTTAATAGAAGTGTGGGAAACACTTCTGATGAAACCCCAAGGTGAAACGCGTAGTGTTTTATAATATATTTATATTTCATATACTATTTGTTGCGCCTGGGATTTGTCGAGCCCTGCTTTAAAGTGCAAATGTTATATTGTTTTCCTTACAACCAAGTAGCTAACTAAAACATAACTATGTGCTCCGCTATTCTTTTTACTTATTAAAACGGTTTTATATTTTATTTTACATGGTTTACCTGGCTGTACTGGAAAGATGGCCCAAGCACACATGTGCTTACAAGGCATTTTTCTAGAGATGCTTATGGAGCCATGTCGTTGCTTTGGACATGAAAGTGTTGCAGAGGTAAGTTGTGTTCTGGCTATTTAATCAAACAATTCACTATGTTAAAAGCATCTAGTTAATTTAGTTGGCATTAAAGAGAAGAATTAAGTGATGCAGGACAAAGATATGCAATCTGAAGCTAGATAATAAAAGACTAGCAAGGTTATGCATGCATGCATTTTGTGCAATAAGACTGATGTACATTTGGAACAATAATCTACCAGGGAATAGAATAGAATGACAAAGCAAATGGATTGAAGCTTGTCTAAAGCAAATGCAAGGCTTTCAAGATTAAAGGTCAAGCATTTTAGTAAATAAGAAAATAGAGAGCCCCTATCAGTTGACTATTATCTACCAGCAATTGTGCATTTATGACAACTCTCACATTATCTGCTCGTGAAAGCCTTTTACTGCTATCACAGTCTTAATAGCTTCTATTTCATAAAAGATCATTGTATCACAGTCTTTAAAAATAATATATATATCAGTGTCGCTGAGCTCAGGGAGCGTTTACCAGACCTTCTACTACCATTGTTCACTTATTTTCAAGTACATCACTACTACCATACTATTACACAGAATTTTACTCCTGTCTGGGAAAACCCTTTGGATGCCATATTATGCTCCTCTGATTCTGCGTCCTATTCCATTTGAAAACTTTACATGCTATTACGATACACCTGAGATTGGAGCAGTCTACAGATGGGGATAGGGAAGTGGAGGATGCATTTCCCTGACATAAGTCCAGAAGACATACTTTTGCACATTCTATTCAAAGTCAAATATTGCCCATGGTTTCCTTTAGGGACATGTTCCTTAAACTCCTACAGAATGCTTATTATTCCCACCACAGACTTCACCTTATGGCTAGAATGTAGACTGCCACCTGTTTAAAGTGTGCACACATCAGGACTGACATGTATCGCTGTCTGTGGGAGTGTGTTCTAATCCAGTCTTTTTGGGCCAAACTGAAATCATGTTAAGACAAAGGTGGAATGCCCACTTTTCCACTCTCCCCCCAAATTTTTGCAATTGGGACCCTAAGCAGGTTATCTCTTACCCAATAAATGATTCTTCCTTATAATAGCAGCAGTTGGATGCAAAACATTCTTCAGGTCTGGAACCAGCTGAGTGCACGCAATTTACAATTATTCTTAATCAAACTCAATTCATATTTAAAATGGATTGGTTAGACACTCTGACCAATAAAGAACTCCTTGCCAGGAAAGGTATTTTGACTTGGAAACCATATATTCTTACTCTGGATGATTCTTTAAGATCAAGGTGAGAATCACTCTGGAGTACACGGCATGGTTTTTGGCAGCGGTGGTGGCGGATCACGACCCCTTAGGAATCAATACCCAATAGATATTATTTATCCTTAATCTCAAGCAATTCCTTGGTGTTGTTTAGGAAAGGGGTCGCAGAGCAGTAGGCTGGCAATGACTTTATTTAGTTTACTTCTAACTGAACTGTTCTATTTTTATTTAGTTTGGTTTCTCATTTTATAATTTCTGTTCGTGGCTTCACAAGGCACTTGAAATGTTGATTACCTTTTAGAGTACTTTATTCTGTGCTTATTTGTATTCATACATATTGACGAATGTTCCAACATTTTGTAATTAAGATTTTTCATTGAAATGACTGCATGTATTCTGTTTGTAACAGGACCTGGTTATTAACCAGGATCCTATTTATCATACCACACTATCTCTCTACAGTATAGGCGATGCCAGTGTTGATACCAAGAGGTTGCTATGTTCAATGTAATAGATAAATTCAGAGTAACTTCTCTCAAGGGAGTAAACTGTAATCACCATAATGGAATCTCGTCACTAAACAGATCTAAATTGCAAAATTAGAGGAACACTCTATGCACCATAACTTCTACAGCCCAATGTAGTGGTTATGATGCCAGGAATGCCATGGAACTCACCCAGAATCACCCAGAATAATTTATCAAACTATTTTAGATCAGTTTAACAACTTACCTGGGTTCTGCCCGGCACCTGTGGTCTGCAAACTGCTTCCAACTTCTCCTGGCAAGGAGAATTTGGTTGACTCCAGTGAACTAAGCAGTGCTGTGCTCATTAGTTGAGAATGTCATCTGAGCAAAGTCCTATGTTAGACCTGCTTAGTTCAGTGAATACATTCGTTCTAAGAGGTCCTTTGGGAGGACACCAGGGAACTCCTGGCATCATAACCACTTCATTAGGCTGGTTGATATGACACAGCCACACAGTGGATTAATTTTACATAGTTTTTTTCTCTTTAAAAACAAAATACTCCCAAGATAAAGAAAACTAATACATCTGCCTAACAGCTATTTCTTTAGAATATAATGTCATGGATTTTAAACCTTATAGAATATATGTATAACAAATTAATTGCAATGTAAATAAAAATACCTTTGACATTGCCAGATGTCTATCAGTCTCAGAGGATTCTCTCTTGTAGGCGAATATAGTAGGTGGCCCAACTCTAGGTAAAGTCTTAAGTTGCTCCTCAAAAAAAGTCATGTAGTCTGAGCTGAACTGCATAGATAACATTATAATTATTATTATTTCCCAAAGGCAACAGTCTGATATGCAAGCGATAACTAACAGATCTGAAAATGCTCTACCTCCATGTCACAAAGAATGCTCAACTCACTTAGGTCATCTGATAAAGAGGAGTACAGATCTGAAAACAATAAGAAAGTTTAAATATTATTGTTAGCAATCACGAGATAAAACCGCTTCAATCACAGTATGATATTAATTAGAAGTTCTGTTAAGGCCCGGACTGGCCATCGGGCACACCGGGCAAATACCCGGTGGGCCGCGGTGGCCATGGGCCGAGGAAGGCAGGACCTCCCCTGCTGGTCTATGCAGGGCCGGCACTATCCAAAAGATCAAAGATCTCCCTCACCGGCCCACATGTAGTATATTCCAGCTGCCGGCGGGGGAGAGAGGGAGGGAGACAGCCTGACAGCAGAGGAACCTGGAGAACTCGGAGAACCTCGCAAGAGTGAACTCTAGCTCCACAGGCTAGAGTTCACTTACCACTGAACCACCGGGGATGGATGGCAGTAGCACGATCCCCCCTCCCAGGCAAACGGTAATAAGGGAGGGGGGAATATAATCACTCACAGCACCCTCGCTCTCTCACACACACACCAATGTTACAACTTGCACCACGTTTTCCTCATTACTTCCACATTTTATATTGTAAGTACAATAATATAGCATCATAGTTTGTAGCCATATAGAGTCTTCCCAACGAAAGTAATATACATTTTTAAAATTAAATCCATGGCATTTTTGAGGGACATTGAAATAAACCTATAGTTGCTGACTTCAGTATTTATGCATGATGGCTAGCGAACAAGTATATTTATTTATTTAGAAAACGACTCACAAAGCACAGTACCAGCATACCTGCTACCAATACTTGGAAAGTTATTGCCCATCCAATACATCCTCTTCATAAACTGGAATTTAAGTTCTGGTTTCAGCAAACTGCACAGCAGCTTTTAAGTGATCCACTCCAGAGTGGTATAGGGCAACAGTAACAATGCAATTAAATGTTTGTGATTGAATGAATGTGATTAAGAGGTCCAGTCATTTAGAAAAAAATGACACTCACAGCACCCTCACTCACACACCCACACTGCACCCCTAACACTCACAGCACCCTCACTCACACACACACACACACACACACACTGCTCCCCTGACACTCACAGCACCCTCACTCTCAAGCACACACACTGCACCCTCACATGCACATAGCACCCTCACTCAGACACAGCACACACTCACTGCACCCCTCACACACAGCACCCTTACCCACACAGCAACCTCACACACACACTACACTTCCCTTGCACACACACTACAACCCTAACACACACACGGATCACCCTAACACGCATTGCACCCCTGACACTCACAGCACCCTTACGCGCACACACACACTACACCCCTGACACTCACAGCACCCTCACACACACACTGCACCCCTGACACTCACAGTTTCCTCAAACGAACATAGCACCCTCACGCAAACACAGCACACACACAGTGCACCCCTTACACACACAGTACCCTTACCAGCATAGCACCCTCACGCAAACACAGCACCCATGACTCACACAAGGCACACACTACATCCCTCACACACACTGCACCCCTCTTGCACACACACTACACCCCTTACACTCACACACACACTGCACAATACTCTTTCATGGCATTTTTGTCTCCTGGTATCCCATCTATGGAGACACCAGAGACAGATTTCAAGCAAACACAGTGCAAGCATGATATAAAATTTGCTTGCGCTGTGCAGAACAAATACAAGGTCTTTTTCTCATGCTAGAGCTCTTCAGCAGAGCCCTGCGCATGGTCTGCCCTGGAAGAGCATTGAACCAACATGCTCACTTTTTGATGGGGCATGTTTGTCATTGGTGATGACAAAAAAAACCTATCTGGCTCCGCCCCCTTTTTAGTGGGCCGCTGTAATAAAGAAATGCTGAATTTTCTTCCCAGTCCGGCCCTGGGTCTGTTCGATAAACAACAAGTTAAAAAAATCTAGACCCATTTAAATGAGACAGAGATTTTTTGCAATTCGTTAATATCAATATTTTAACATAAACTTTGCAAGTCACTTTCAAATCATCCCAACTTGCTTTGCAGTGAATCAATCCCTTTGTAACTTTATATTTGATTCGTTTCTTACCATCTTCCTGGTCACTTGCTGGTGAATCGCTGGCAGGTGGAGTTGCATATTTTGGTGAGTCAGTAGCTGAAAAAAGGAACACATGTTTTACAGTAGCTGTGAGTATTTCCTCTCTTATTCTGAATGTAATAATTCATTACTTTAAATGTAAGTCTTAGTATAGCTATCAGGATCATTGCTAGGCTTTAGCCCAAAGGAAAACTCAATGATCCCTACATTGACAGAGGGCAGCTACGTGTCATGACAAATGTCCGCCTTTCAGTGTTATTCTTCTCCTATCTACCCATGCTCTCTGGGATCTGAAAACAAGCACATTATGCACAACTAGCTGTTCAATGAATCATGCCACACTACCTAACATAGTTATTTTACCTAGCATCCCCTCTCAAATTTTTTTTAAAAAGTAATCAAAACATTAATGTCCCCCTGCCTTCTCTACCAGCTGTAGAGAGCTGGGACTTAAGAAACCCACATCTGGGGCTCCAGCCTCCAAAGCCAACCGATATTTATTCCTATGATAGCTACACACTCTTAAATAAAATGACCATACAACATTACAATAATTTAACAGAAAAAAAAACGAATTCACAGGATATAATAGGTTATTATCAGAATATGATGAATCACTTATAATGTGTAACCTTCATAAATATTAATATATCAAAGTTAAAGGAGCACAAGCAACATAAGCACTATGGCTCACAAGATGCAAATGAAAAGTACCCAAAAATTCCTACCAAAAGAGATCCATGGGAACATTTTCTTTATTATTCTAATTTATTGTATGCGCTAGTTAACAAGTAAAAATAAATTATCAATACATAGCACCATACTAAGGGGGACACAAAAAATTTAAAAAACAAAAAACATAAGTAAGAAGAACCTGGACGAGTTGTGCATCTACTAAAGGATGCTTCTTTGGCAAGTTACTTGCTGTTCCCGTGGATCTTGGGTGAGTTATCTGTTTTTTCTATATAATTTAGATTTCGTAGATGGATGTCCACATAAAAAAAAACATCTTTCCATTTTAATCCGTTTGATGTGAAGTGGTATTTCATAGAATTTGTTTGTACACATACCTATAAAATAATGATGCTTGATGCTCTGTGCATTTTAAAATAGAAAAGTTCAAGATTCAATTTAAAATTAAAGGAACACTATATGGTCAGGAACACAGATATGTATTCCTGACCCTATAGTGTTGAAACCACCATTTAGGTGGCTTGCCCCACCTTTCCCCTCTTAAAAGGTAATTAAACTTGCCAAATGTAAACACTGCCTTTTCTCGAAAATGCCTGTAGTTGTTCTGGTGACTGTAATGTCCCTTTAAGTACTTTACACTTTCATTCATTGCTCTGGATTCCACCTCGATTTTATCTCAATTCCAGTCCAAAACAACCCTCTGACCTCAAGCTGCTTCTCCCGACCTTGAGGTGCTGTAATTACTCCAGTTTCTTTGGAATGGCGAAATCTGGCAATTTAATCAGCTCCTATTCAGCCCTATGGCGCTTACCAAGCTGATGAAACCAGTCATGGCCTTCATCCGTGCATGGGGTAATAGATCCATAAATTACTTGTACGATATTCTTATTCTAGCACCAATCCAAACACCATACCAAACTGACGGTTTCCCTACTACAGAACCCATGCTTCATCATCAACAAAACAAAGTCAGAACTTCACAGGTCATAAAATTCCTCGGCTTCTTGATCGACTGAGTTTCAGCAGTTCTCAAACGTCTACCTTCCAAGATCAAGTCAATCAAGAAGGACATTTGAAGACTCATTCAATCATCTCAAGTATGCCTCCGAGATCTAGCTTGAATTGGACTCCTTTCCTCCTCTACACAAGCCATCTTCCCCAGTCTACTTCATTATTGTCACATTCCCCGGCACTTATATGTGCTGGGTCTCACACGGGATACAGAAAGCGGTCCTCTGGGGTCTTAGGCACCCCCGGTTCTGTCCTGCCGTGCTCTCATTGTTTCTCCCACGGCTCTCTTCTCTGCTGTCCAACACCAGGCTCTGCTGGCACAACATGCGGAGAGAATCGTGAAGGGCCAATAGGTGGGAGGCCTGGAGAGACAGAGGGGAGGGACTGTGGAGTAGCCAAAATGGTGCCCAGTCTTCTCACCTCTATCTTTTCAGCTCTCCCTGTAAATAGCCAAGCACCGCACTGGCCCATTAATATTGGGGGGAATATTGGAAACAAGATGAGCATGTACGGCGAGCACCCCATGCATGTTCAATAAAATGCTTTCCTATGAGTTGCATTTAGTCACATGACTAAATGCATTTGAAGACTCATTCAATCATCTCAAGTATGCCTCCGAGATCTAGCTTGAATTGGACTCCTTTCCTCCTCTACACAAGCCATCTTCCCCAGTCTACTTCATTATTGTCACATTCCCCGGCACTTATATGTGCTGGGTCTCACACGGGATACAGAAAGCGGTCCTCTGGGGTCTTAGGCACCCCCGGTTCTGTCCTGCCGTGCTCTCATTGTTTCTCCCACGGCTCTCTTCTCTGCTGTCCAACACCAGGCTCTGCTGGCACAACATGCGGAGGGAATCGTGAAGGGCCAATAGGTGGGAGGCCTGGAGAGACAGAGGGGAGGGACTGTGGAGTAGCCAAAATGGTGCCCAGTCTTCTCACCTCTATCTTTTCAGCTCTCCCTGTAAATAGCCAAGCACTGCACTGGCCCATTAATATTGGGGGGAATATTGGAAACAAGATGAGCATGTACGGCGAGCACCCCATGCATGTTCAATAAAATGCTTTCCTATGAGTTGCATTTAGTCACATGACATAGTGAAACTCAGTTGTTGCTGCGGAAGCAGCTATAGTGGTTTCTACAAAACTGCAATGTATTACATTGCAGGGTTAAAACCACAGGGCCATTGCAGTCCACTTTATTCAGATGCAGTGCTCTGTGTGACTTTAAAATGTCCTTAACAAAGGGCTACACTAGAAATAGACAGGATAAAAAGAAACCATTCTTTTTATAATAAAAATGGTTCCATGTATTATTTGTAAATATACATGTGTAACATAAAGACTTACACTGTTTTTCCTGTTTATGTTCATGAAGCCAACTTGTATCAGTCTGTAAAGAGACTGAAATACCTAAAGACATTTTATCAAAGGGTTCCGTTCCTTGTGTCCTAAAAAGGAATAAATGACACCTCAAAATAATCAGAAAATGTAAGTACTCAATATTAAAATACATTTTAGATGTATAAAACATTAAAACAAAACACAAAAACACCTTAGGCATTGATTACAGAAAAATATATGTACTTTTTATGTTGCTTATAGTGTCAGTGACCACTAAGCTCTGGAATAATAATAAATAATGCCAAAATCGTTGCATTATAGAAATTTTATTTATTATTTTTTTAAACTTAGTTTCTATGGAGCATATTTTGCAAATATATTTTCATTCGCCACAATTCATTGTGAATAAAACCCCCTCAGGGTTATTCACTAATTCATAAATTAATAAGTGAATTGTACAGTTTAGGCCCAAATAACTGAGCTAGAAAGATAGCCAACAAGCTATTTTGGCTTTAAACCAGCCAATTAACCACAAGAGGACATGGTCTTAAATTAGAGGGGCAAAGGTTTAAAAATAATATCAGGAAGTATTACTTTACTGAGAGGGTAGTGGATGCATGGAATAGCCTTCCAGCTGAAGTGGTAGAGGTTAACACAGTAAAGGAGTTTAAGCATGCGTGGGATAGCCATACCGCTATCGTAGATATAAGATAAGGCCAGGGAGTAATAAAAGTATTTAGAAAATTGGGCAGACTAGATGGGCCGTCATAGAATGCCGTCACATTCTATTCTTCTAGTGAATAATCATGAATGTTGTCACTAGATTTTGGGCTTTATTTGCTAAACAATGCATTGTGGTTATTCAAAAATGGAATTGCAATATTTAGACCAAAGTAGCTGATTTAGAAACTTGACTATTTGTGTCTGCATTTTGTCATTCAGTTTTCAATACACCGTTTAGTACCGGTAACTAAACACTAGCTGAGTTCAATAGTTCATGCAGCTTTTTACAGGTGAAATGTGCTACACTTCACAATTCACTGTTTAGTGAATAAAGGATTTTGTGTGTGCAAGTTATGGTTTTGTTGAGTTTCCAAAAATACAGAATATTTCTATAATCACATTTATCACATTTTACATGCATGATATGCTGCAGTGTGGGTGAATTAATTGGAGGGTTGAGGTATTTTTAGAAAAATTATAGCTTGGCCTTTTGTCAACGAAGCAGACTGAAACATGATATAACATACGTAATAACAAAACACAAACAGGAATTTAATAATTATATACACACACAAACAATGAGATCAGTTACACCTACGCTAAGTGAAGTAAGAATTAGTAGTATTACTCATATACTTCATTAGCTTACAAAGGGGTTTATTTACTAAATACGGAATTGCAGTGAATTGAAATCCAAATTGCTAAATTTTGTCTAAATACCCATCTGTGACTATAGCAGAGTTGTAGAAATTTTATTCTAAATTGTACAATTCAGTTTTCAATTCACTGAATAAACTCCAGAAGCTGAGGTTTGAAAACACATGCAGACAAGTGCTGCATGAGAAAATGATGTACTGTAGAAATAATTAGCTAATTTTGGCACTGTGGATATTTGGGAGACCCAATTCCCATCACATTATGACATTCTAAATAGTCAATCGTAAAGTAGTAGTTTTGTTGTATAGAACATGTCACTGCAAATCTGGCAAAAAACAAACATCACATGCATATGTAAGAAAAGGTGAAGTTTGAAATTGTCAATCGCGATGCCTCTAGTGGCTTTCAATCAGAAAAGCATTGAATTGGAATTTGGACCTAAGATCATCTGTCTTAATAATCTCATTTTAGATACTGCCCAGTGCAGAATTACCAATGTTTATTTATTTATTTTATTTTACAATGAGTGGGGGCTATATTCTAAATAAGGAATGCAGTAACATTAAACACAAATGTATCTAGTTTAAATGTTAGCGTATGCCTTAAAAAAGGATCCATCAAGCCCCATAGTTATAGCATCAATCTGCTTTAACCCCTTAAGGACACATGACGGAAATATTCCGACATGATTCCCTTTTATTCTAGAAGTTGTGTCCTCAAGGGGTTAAAAGTATTTCTCTTTAGGCTGAGAGACTCAGCTGCTGGGGGTTATTCACTAAATATATACTTATGCAGAATTGGCAAGGAAATTACATAACTTAGGATACAAGAGCAATAATTCCAAACTCATTAAATAACGCCAATTTGAAATACAAAGTTTAGCTATTACTCTATAGCATGGATGTCAAACTCGCGGCCCACAATGAATATCTTTGCGGCCCAGCAAAGATATTCATTACTAAGAGAACCTGGAAACAGGCGGAGGTGCATGGAAGTGGACTGATGGGGCAGAGGAGCATGGAGGAGGGCAGGAGGTGCATGGAGGCAGGCAGAGGCGCGGGGAGGTGCATGGAGGCGGGCAGAGACGCCTACATGCTCCGTCTTCAAGGGGTTTCAGCTCTGGTACAGGGTGCGGAAGGCGCCATTGGGGTTATAGACGCAGGACTCCTGACTCGGACACACAATGTGAGTGGAGTTTGAGTCTGGAGGCTAACATTGTTTTTGTTTTTCAAACAGGGGCAGGGGCAGGGGTTTAGTAGAGTGTGGGCTTGGATTTCGTAGAGAGGGCTGAGGTTTAGTGGGGGGGTGGGGTTTGGTGGGGGTGGCTGGGTTTTAGCAGAGTGGGAGCTGGAGTTTAGTAGAGGGCTGGATAGGATTTAGTAGAGGGGGTGCTGGGGTTTTGTACAGGTTGGGGCTGAGGTTTAGTAGACGGGGACTGGGGTTTAGTAGAGGGGGTGCTGGAGTTTAGTAGAGGGCTGGATAGGGTTTAGTAGAGGGGGTGCTGGGGTTTGTAGAGGTGGAGGCTGAGGTTTAGTAGAGGGGGGACTGGGGTTTAATAGAGGGGGTGCTGGGGTTTTGTATCAGGATGGCTGGAGTTTAGTATGGGGGCTTGGGTTTAGTAGAGGGGTGGATAGAGTTTAGTAGAGGGAGTGCTGGGGTTCTGTAGAGGGGGGGCTGGGGTTTAGTAGAGAGGGCTTGGGTTTAGTAGAGGGGGTGGGGTTGGTATAGGGGCTGGGGCTTAGTGGGGTGGCTGGGTTTTAGTAGAGTGGGAGCTGGAGTTTAGTAGAGGGCTGGATAGGGTTTAGTAGAGGGGGTGCTAGGGTTTTGTAGAGGGCTGGATAGGGTTTAGTAGAGGGGGTGCTGGTGTTTTGTAGAGGTGGGGGCTGAGGTTTAATAGAGGGGGGTGCTGGGGTTTTGTATCAGGATGGCTGGAGTTTAGTATGGGGGCTTGAGTTTAGTAGAGGGGTGGATAGGGTTTAGTAGAGGGGGGTGCTGGGGTTCTGTAGAGGGGGGTAGCTGGGGTTTTGTAGAGGGGTGGATAGGGTTTTGTAGAGGGGGGTAGCTGGGGTTTTGTAGAGGGGGGCTGGGGTTTTGTACAGAGGGTCTAGAGTTTAGTAGAAAACATTAATGTTATCATTGTTCTTGTTCTTTTTTTATACTGTACTTTTCTATGAAAACATTATTTTGTGACCCACATAAACTTGAAACTTGTTTATTTGGCCCGTGTTAGCCTTTGAGTTTGACATGCTTCCTGTATAGGATCACGTTATCATAGAATAGCTATGGCTTTGTTCTGAAAAAATGTTATAAATATATTTTTAATAAATTGTGTTGTGTCAAATTTAAAGCACCTATGGAAATATGTGTGTTTATAAGTATATACACAGACATAATATTTTAATCAAAGTCATACTTACTGGTTTAAATTATGGTCTTTACTATGATCCTTTTGCTTTTCTTCATCAGTTACCTGAGTGATAGAAGCTTTATCTAACAAAGAAAACAATAGACAAACAGATGTAAAAAATATATTGAAATAAACCAGTGTGCTTTCAGCTCGTGTTGATGCTCCAAATTCTAAATATATCTGAATATTCAAATATTATGATGAGTCTTAGAAACTGTCCTTAGGCAGGCCAGCCACAGCCAGTCGTCCCAAAACAATTATTTGCCAGTGACTAAGCCTTGTGCCCTGCCTGACTAAGCCTTGTGCCACCTTAACCCTATCAATGCCAGAGCCATGCCCAATGCAATGAATGGTTTGCAAGGTGTTGGGAACACATTTGGTTCTCAGAATGTTAATAGGAAAGTGAACAGCATGTGTTTCATGCTAAAAATACCATAAAGTCAAAGTGGGGCAGCTGCCATTATTTACTACAACTCAGTTTATGTCACATAGAGTATGATAGCACAGGGTGTTAATCAGAGCATCACACAGCACTGTGGCACTCAGAGGGTTAAGGTGACATTAATAGGTCCAGCTCCCCGTGTTTACCGGCCCCCGGGCCGCTCTCCAGCTCTCCCATAGTCGGACCCATGCCGCCAGCAGAAGGTTCCATTTTCTTGTTGATAGAACGATCTCCCGGGAAACCTGCAGCTCTTACTGTCACTGCCCCGCTGCAGGCCGGGAGTTTAACCCATTGGGGACATTGTGCCTGCTGTTACTGCCGGGAATTTAACCCTTTGGGTAATGGTTGCTAAGCTGCTAGTAGCTGTTATTTTATTTATTTCACTCTGAGTGTATAGAAAGGTTTAGCACTGTGAGTACTGAGTGGATATGCAGATGGGGGGGTGACAATTGAAAATGCCTCATAGGACTAAAAGTAAAGGAAAGAACATATTTATTTTAAGCAGGCATACGCACAGCGTATATTATTATTATTATTATTATATATTACAGAACGTTTCTCAAAATGTCAAGGTAATAGCACTGACATGGTGACTGAAGCCCAGGGTTTGACAAATATGCTTTAAAGGACCACTCTAGGCACCCAGACCACTTCAGCTTAATGAAGTGGTCTGGGTGCCAGGTCCCTCTAGGATTAACCCTTTTTTATATAAACATAGCAGTTTCAGAGAAACTGCTATGTTTATATTAGTGTTAATCCAGCCTCTAAAGCCTCTAGTGGCTGTCTCATTGACAGCCGCTAGAGGCGTTTGCGTGCTTCTCACTGTGAAAATCACAGTGAGAAGACGCCAGCGTCCATAGGAAAGCATTATGAATGCTTTCCTATGAGACTGGCTGAATGCGCTCGCAGCTCCTGACGCGCATGCGCATTCAGCTGAAGAGGAGGAGGAGAGCTCCACGCCTGGCACTGGAAAAAAGGTAAGATTTAACCCTTTCCTCGCCATCCAGCCCGGCGGGAGGGGGACTCTGAGGGTGGGGGTACCCTCAGGGCACTATAGTGGTCCTTTAACTATGAAAGCCAGCTAAAAAGATTAGGAGACAGTTTTTTTGAACAAAAATACAATTCTTAAAGGAACTCCATAATCACCAGAACCACTACAGCTTGATGCAATGGCTCTGGTTTCTATATAGTCTGTCCCTGCATGCTAAACAATGTAAACTCTGCCCTTTCATTTACATTGCTATTGCCTATTAACACCTCTAGTGGCAGTCACTTATTATTTATTAATATTATTTCATACACTCTAATAAATACACACACACTCACACAAAGATTCCACAGATACACACAGACAAATACACATACAGAGAAATAAAAAAACTGAGGCCTTGCAGGGGAATGGCCGGCCAGCCAGCTGTGCGAAATAGAGGCCGGAGGCACGGAGAGCTGTCTTTACCTGGTGTCCTGCCAGTTTGCCATTCACAAGCGCACAGAGAGCTGCATGGGGATTGAGACAGGAGGAAATAATGGGGTGACTAATCTCAGGCGCTAGGACAAATGTCTTAGTCCCAATGGTGACCTGGCGCCTAGGATTTGTCGAGCCCTACTGTAGCCTACTGCATTCCTTCCAACTGTCCCCCTTTTGGCAGGACAGTCCCGATTTCGGTGTCCTATACCACTCTGCATGGTCCTCTATGCAGGAGGCTGTCTGTGAGCCTTGCATGCTTGACGGCATGCTAAAACGTCCCTTCAGTAATTGGAACTGCTTACTTTTGGTGTGGGCTCGTCCATTGAGGGGCTTCACCAGTGTCACTGGTGATGCCCCCTCAGAAAGCCTGCTCCCGAAGTTGGTACTGTAGCAGTTGTGGCTGCAGGTGTAGGCCCAGACTGGGCATCAGGCACACTGGACAAGAGCACCAGCCCAGAGAGTGACTTTCACAGCCAGTGGAAAGATCAGGGATTTCACTGACAGGCCTGCCCATTGTAAAGCTAGAAGGGGAAGGGAGTTTGTGGTGCAGACCACTTACCATATGTATTGCTTCAGCAAGTGTTGCTATATGTTACCATGGCAATGCTCCACCGGAAGGAGCTATATTAATAGTCTTCGTGCACCAGTGTTGCAGAACACATTTTACCAATGGGATCACCAAGGACTAGTATATCCTCCCTTGTCCAAAAGGAAGGGATAAACAGTTAACCTTTTTAATATCCCCCATTCTATAGCCCCTATATCTGCCAAAATGCACACTATAACCCTTATCTCCCCCAACCCTTACATGACAGCTCTATCTACTCCTGAAAACACACAACACTACCCCCCCCCCCATACATTACAGCCCATATTTTCCCCCCATAAACTCTATAGACCCTATGTACACACAAACGCACAATACAGCCCCCATTCACGTACACACACACACACATACTTAAAGGCGTATACCACCCGCCTCCACCCCACATGCAGATAATTTGACCGTTGATAATATTCACATAGTTGCATGTGGATGCATTTTTCCAAAATTTTTGACAATACCGGGAGCAATAATATCAGGCAATAGTTAGATACCAAAGTATTGTAACCACTTTTATGGATAGGTACAACTTTTGCAGTCTTCCAAAGTTTGGGTTTGCATCCTGACACCAGGGATTCATTGATAAGGGTAGTGACAGGTTTAACAATTGCTGGTACACTGAGCTTCAGAACATTGCTGGCATTTGATCTGGTCCACACTGGTCCACATTTTGAAATTATTAAGATGTTTATTAACGACACTAACAGGCACAGGTCTAAAATTTAATTTCTCTAAATGAGGATTTTGAAGATTTGGCAGGTCCTGTTCTTTATTTGCGGTCTGAAAATTAGGTAATTTGTTATCTTCACAACCAGGGTGGTAGCACATCCAACAAAATAATTATTAAAGTCATTTGCTACATCTAGGAGGTGTTGCAGTGTTTGGTTGTCTGTTTTGATAGTGGAGGGTTTGGAGTGGATTGTGGGGGGTTTGTATGCTATTTATGATTTTCCAAAAGTCTCTTGGGTTTGATAGGTTGTTGTTCAAACTTTCACTGAAATATTGGGCCTTTGCCATTTTTGTTTGTTTTGTGCATGCATTTCACCATTGTCTGTAGGTACAGTGATCATTCATGGAGCCAGTATGCTTGAACTTTGACCACAGTGAATCTCTAAACTGGTACATTTGAATGAGGTCAGCTGTAACCCAGGGCAGGTGTGGCCCTTTTAGTTGCACTTTACTCGGAGGGGCATGCAAATTCCAAGCACGCAAGAGCTCGGACTGAAAAAATGCAATTGCTGAGTCTAGATCTGGTATTAGGGTATTAGACTTAATCTGTGCCATGGTATTTTCTTGAGATTGTTTAAAAAGGATTCAAGATTACATTTTTTGAAAGACCTGGTGATTATAATCTTGGGAGGGGATTTAGTGGCCATTATTTTGCGTATGCAGTACACTATACCAGGGATAGGCAACCTTCGGCACTCCAGATGTTGTGGACTACATCTCCCATAATGCTCTAACACACATAATGCTGGCAAAGCATCATGGGAGGTGTAGTCCAAAACATCTGCAGTGCCGAAGGTTGCCTATGCCTGCACTAGACAGTGAATGAGCTGAGTATTCCCGAGCATCCACCCCACGCTCCACCAGCACATTGTGAAACATAGCCGTGAACTGGTAGCGTGTAAGAGGAAACCCATCTCTGTGAATAAACAGGTATACCTAACCCCCTGGCTTCAGACTCAAGTATGAAGAACACAAAACTCTCCACCCGTAGAACCTATGCGCGCCCAGACGCCCCTACTTTTGTGATCAGATTTAGAGTGACGAATGCAGACGCCTCGGACCAGCGAATATCTGATACCAACAGCGGTGAGACCAACCCCCGATTACGCGAGACCAATTCACCCATGCGAAAAGCCCTGAAAAAACAAAAGGAAAACACCACTCGAAATAATAACATCTTGTATCCCGAATAACAAACCACCCCGAGAGCCGCCAAGATATGCCACAACAGCTCCACTGACATACGGCAGCGCCGATCGGCACCCCTCCTAAGCCTCCAACCCTGTATAACCCGCTGAATACCGAACTCCCAAGAGCCATCCTGCCATCCTATAAAAAGAAAGGACAATGACCGCAGGACTGGAGACAATCCACTCCTGGAGTCAAAGAAGGACTAAATGGGCATCATAGAAGGGGTTAACCCTACAAAAAACACTAATAGAGAAGTACCCAAAGATAAGGGTGTATGGAGGGAAGAACCAACGTCTATCTCTCACAATACACTCAACTAAGGGTATGCCCACTAAAAGGGTATATATAACACCCCCTGGTTAAGCAAAGGTAAATAAAATAAAGAATGAATGAAAAAAATAAAAAATACTTTATTGAAAAATGAGATTAGATAAAATACAATGCATGGGGTCCGGGATGAGGGGATGGACCATAATTCGTGAGATTATAATGGTACAGAAAGGAGACAGTCAGGCAGATATGAATCGCTCTGAGGCGATACTGTAAGCCAATAGGTAAGTGTGAGCTTATATGTTCAAAATAACATGTTATACCAGAGTTTCTATAATGTAACTTATTTTCTAAAGGTTCCTTAGTGAGCAGGAAATATCTGCACAGAGTGTGATCAAACTCCTATTGTGGGGATAACACCAAATAGATGGGGTGTAATTCCCTGGAGTTTGTAGCAAGCATATAAATCCGTTAATGGAATGGTAAAAAGATCAAGCGGGAAAACTGCTGACTGCTAACAGTAGGGTAGACTGGAACCAGAAATATATGTTCTAAGTAGAGAGAAAAAACGATACTATAAGCCAATAGGTAAGTGTGAGCTTATGTATTCAAAATAACATGTATCTATAATGTAACAAATTTCTAAAGGCTCCTTAGTGAGCAGGAACTATCTGCACAAAGTGTAAACAAACTCCTATTTTGGGGATAGCACCGAATAGATGGGGTGTAATTCCCTGGAGTTTGTAGCAAGCATATAAATCCGTTAATGGGATGGTAGAAAGATCAAGCGGGAGAACTGCTGACTACTAACAGTGAGGTAGACTGGAACCAGAAATATATGTTCTAGGTAGAGAGAAATACAATCAAACAAGGATTACTCTTGTATATGGTGATACCCAGATACCTCAAATCATCTGTATAGAAGTCAGCCCCACAGTTCAAAAGTTAATGGGCTGCTTGCAGATACAGAT